AACTTTCGTTAACATATTCTTGCCAAAAAGTGCAAAGGTAAGGAAATACGTTCTGCGCAAGCGCTGCGCTATCTCCTTAAATACGCATAATTTGTTAAAAGGATATTAAGCAAAGTTGTAGCCCTCATCAAGGCGAACAACTTTCGTTAACATCTTCTTACGAAAAAGTGCAAAGGTAAGGAGATACGTTCTGCGCATGCGCAGCCCTATCTCCTTAAATACGCATAATTTGTTAAAAGGATATTAAGCAAAGTTGTAGCCCTCATCAAAACGAACAACTTTCGTTAACATCTTCTTACGAAAAAGTACAAAGGTAAGGAGATACGTTCTGCGCATGCGCATCCCTATCTCCTTAAATACGCATAATTTGTTGAAAGGATATTAAGCAAAGTTGTAGCCCTCATCAAGAGATAGATAGATAGATAGATAGATAGTTTATTATGATTTTACATAGCAGCCTACAAAAGCTGAATTGCGTAAAATTTACAAAAATAATATGTACATCTCACATACATACATACATACAAACATACACATATCAATAAATATGTACTTGTAAAACGTTGGTAGCGAAGTTCAGATCCGACCTCCACCACCACCACTGCTACCGAAAAGGACTAGGAAATAATCAGAAACATTCAGACTACTAAATTAACTAATCACATGCATAACAAAACAGCGATAAGCAGCGGAAGTGGTAGGGGAAGTCAAATCTGATCCCCACTGTATGGTATCGTTTATAAACTACTCTTTTGACATTGACAGAATATAAGAATTACTAAAACGATTTGTTCGTGTAGCAGGACAGTCAAAACGACGCAGTCTTCTTAGGTTATAGGCTGATGTCTTTGAGGGCGGCAGAAGATGGTAAAGCTTGTGATCAGCATCGGACACAACTGTTTTGAAAAGTTTCTTACAAAGTTTCTGGCGCCTGTCTTTCAAAGTACTGATATCGTGTACAGTGAGATTGTCCATATAGGATAGTCCCGGAGATATAATCGATAACGCACGCTTTTGAATGCGTTCAAGATCGTCACACAAATATCCTGGGAGAGCATGATGAAACACGGGAGCACAATATTCAAGTACGGGTCTGATGCAAGTGTTGTAGAAGTTGATGATATCACGAGCAGGGACGTCAGCGCGCTTGAGCAAAACCAGGAAATACAAGCGTTTATTTGCCTTCTTTATAACATTATTTATATGATCCACCCATTGTAGGGAGTTGGATATGGTAACACCTAGTACTTTGGCACTGCTCACTAGCTCGAGTTCTTTGCAGTTCACGGTGATGGTATCGAACTGATGCTTCACTTTCTTGAAATCAATGACCATTTCCTTGCACTTGTCAGCATTCAGCTGAAGCTTGTTGATGTTAGACCATTTTTCAACTTCAGTTACGGCGTTCTGAATATTGGTTTGACCATTCCGTGGGACAACCTCAGCCAAGGTGGTGTCATCCACATATTTCCAAGATTGCGCATCAGGTGGGTTGAGGTCATTTATCATTAGTAGGAACAGCCAGGGGCCCAGTTTTGTACCTTGTGGAACACCAGATGGAACTGCACCCCATTCCGAGAAACAATCGTTTGACAATTTGACACGTTGGAACCTGTTCAACAAAAAGTCACACACCCAGCGAGCTACACCACGCGGCATTCGAAGAGAATGGATCTTGTCAACTAGAATGCGATGGTCGATTAGATCAAAAGCTTTTCTGTAATCTAGTAACACGATCCTCACTGCTGCACCTGTTCCATCAGTGGCAGAAGCCCACGTGTGCATCATGGAAATAAGAGCCTGTGTAGTTGATGATTTCGGTACAGCACCAAATTGATTAGGATCGATGATCTCAAGAATGGCAGGGCCAACATAATTTCTTACGACAAAGTCCTCAGCTAACTTAGATAAAGTCGGAGTTAGTGAAATGGGTCTAATATGCTTGGCGATTATGGTAACTGGTTTCGTTTTTGGCAGTGGTGTGACATTAGCGTATTTCCAGGATGCCGGAAGCGCTTGTTCGTCGAAGGAGCTGTTCAGGATATCACAAATGGGGTTTGCAAGGAAGTCGGCATAGTCTTTAAGCAGCCAGTTTGGCACCTCGTCTGGCCCCGATGCTTTGCGAGGGTTCAACGTTAGTAATGCTGAATAGACTGAATAAGCATCAAGCTTTAGTACCTCAGAATTTTTATCTATGGGAGGAAGACAATCAAGTGAGTAGTATAGGAACTGCCGGTTCTAGACCACTAGTTTTTGAATTTTTATCTATGGGAGGAAGACAATCAAGTGAGTAGTATAGGAACTGCCGGTTCTAGACCACTAGTTTTTTTTCTAGACCACTAGTTGTTTTTTTTTCTAGACCACTAGTTTTTTACCTTTAGTAAAAATTAATTATTTATTTTTATCCTTTAGTAAAAATTAATTATTTATTTTTATTATATTAAAATTAATGGTCCCACACCTCAACGAGTGGGTTCCCGAGACTTCAGCAGTTCCATGGTCCATTTAATTGGAATGTGAAACTGCTATTCTTGTTTTTCATTTAACTTACCTCAAAGCTTCGGGATCACCTTACCAGTCCAGCTGAGACTCTAATACGATTATCCTAAGTGCAATCCTACACTTCCCCAATATTGTTCAATTTTCCTATTCCAGAGCCTCTTCGACAACTTTTATTTCCTCCTTGGGGGTACACACACCCTTCCATAAAAACTTCCCAATCAACCCTAGAACAACTACTTTCCGTAGTCCCTTATCCTATTCTGTAGAGTTTTCATGTAAACTTTCGTTATTAACGGTAACACGTCCTCATTATTTCTAGCCCATAGAAGATCCGTCAGCGTCCTCCGTAATGGATGTAATTTTTTGCACTTTTTCCTTAACCTTTCCATTATCATACTATTTGCTTCCTCTTGGGTAAATTCTGTTGGTAGTCTTCCAACAGTTCATTTACGGGTTTAACTTTTCTTTCAACCTTTACTTTAGTTGTTAGGTAGTGTCCGTAAGCATAACTGGTAATCCCATCCTTCAGTAGATATCTTTTGTCGTCGAAGCAACTTAGGGTAACCTTTCTCATTTTGTAAGTTCCGATTGTATGCTTTTTGCTCCTGATTGTATTCATGTTGTGTCTCATCCTACCTTTCGTGTTAATTACGTTCTTGAAGTTCTCGTGAGTGATCTTGTTTCTGATAACATACTTTTTAACTCCCTTAGCGGTCATTCCACCTCCACCGTTTTCCTTAACATAGGAGTACATCTTTGCCTTTAACCCGACGAACTCGATTATGGGTACTCCTTCAGCTTCATCCTTAAACTTACCTATAACCTTCTTGTTGTGGTCTGAGTAGTACGGAGAATCTTTTGGGTAATCTGAGTTGTCCCAACAGTCCTGCCTTTCACCAATCCTCTTGAAGTCCTCATAAACATTATTCGTTCTAAGTTCGTACATCAAACTGTCAGTATCAGTAAACAGTAGCCTTGACCTGTTACCGTACTCCTTCTTAATTGTGTTGTAGTGGAAATCATACATTAAAGTCTTGGATAAGTCTAAGATGCTCATTCCTACGTAACACGGTTTATTTAGCGTTAGAACTTCTCTCATTCTTTTTACAACTATAAGGTTCTCATTCATAATTCGATGTGACTGGAAGCACGGTGATGCCGTCAGTTTTAGGAGGTCGTCTTCGGAGGACACTAGTTTTACATCAACCCTTTTTCTAAGATTTTCCATAGTCTTTCCGTAAATCGAATTATTCATCAACTTGAAGAAGTTCTTTTCGAACGTGTTACGAGCTACTGACCTTTTCTTTGTATTGAAGTCTATATAGTTTTTAAGCCAGCGAGACTGTTTGAATGTAACCGCTCTATGGATCTTTGTAAGTTTCATTCCGAGGTCCGTATACAGTTTCAGATTACGTACATGTAAAGCGTACTTCTTCTTGGGTTCTAGTGAAGTCACCAGTTTTTTTACTCCTCCAATTGTTAGTTGGAATTTCTCAGCAATACTTTTCGAATAATCTGACAACATAGAGGCACTAATTTTTTTACTCTCTGGTGCTAAAGGATAACCGTTGTGTAAATTGTGAAGTTCTTGTGGATATTCTAAGTCAACCTCTAAAACCATCCCCCTTTTGTTGTCTCCTAGGTAATCATTTATGTTTATATTGTCGACTTCCTCAACCACTCAAACTCTCCATTAGGAAGTGGTTGTGACATTGCCCAGCCGTATAAATTGTTAGCGTCGAGGTACATCAAGTACTTACTCTCAGACGACTCGTCATACGTTTCCATGTACTTATTATTAGCTGTTGAGTGTCTGTGAGCAATATAACTTATACCACCCCTCATACCCTTCTCGAAGAACTGGAACATATCCATATCACTTACGAGTTCTATTTCTTCACCTGACTTTTTCAGGAAAGCGTCCCAACTCAGACTAGGTGCTGACACGTAATGTGCGGGGTCAAGTTCGTAACTTTCCAGACATGTTCTCCTAAAGTTTTCAAACACATCAGCTAACAGAAGAACGTCGGTCTCCAGGTAGAGATCGTGGTAGTCTCTCATGGTTTTCATCTTAAAGTGATCCCATACTTTCTGAGCTCTTTGGTAATCTTCTTCCTTCACTTCTGACTCGTACAGTGATGAGTAAAACTTATCTCTACTGGGGAGACCTTCTGTATCAAGTTTGCTAATGTCATCCAAGAATTCATATGGAAAGACTCCTTTTTGTGTCACTAAATTGAAGTCCTCACCCTTCCACCTCTTACCTACTATCCTGAAGTCCTCAGGTGAAAGGTTACTCACCAGTGCTTCCAGTGAAGAAGCCATAAATTGTATAGAGTCTATGAAGACAAGATTTTTACCTAGTGAGAATGAAATATATTTTTCCATATTATTTGGAATCACGTTGACGTCCATCTTGAACTTACCAATTTCCTGCATAATCAGATGACTATCGTAACCTCTTAGGTTGTGGAAAACCACAGGTACTTTCCATGTAATTCTGTACTTCAGATTACATATATTATGAGCAGCTCCACGGTACATTCCTGTTACGTGGTCATGGTCCCTTACCCTGTCCTCACCAAGGTCGTTACCACATATTGAACAGTTTCTTGCAGCCTGGAATTCGGATTCCTGTTTGGGTGTAATTACCATCTTTTTCTTGAATATATTGTTGACCATCTCTCTACATCTGAAGGACTCTTTCAATACAGTCTTTAGGAAGACCAATGCAGCATCCTCTCCAACGTAACTCTTATACTCACCGGAGTACCTATCATCATAGTGGCAGACAGTCTTCAAACCAAAACTACAAGCCTTGTGTGTCTGGTAAAGGTCTGTACTACTTTTATCCTCAGGGTTTTCTGACTCCACTTTTCTCTCCTCTGGTACTAGTATGGACTCAAAATCAGCGTATATCACAAACGGCACAGGCATTGAGTTCCTGTGATTTTTGAACTTGATTTTTGTCCCTTCCTTGGGAAGCTTTACAGCCTGAGTTCCATTTACCTCCAGACATGTTTCCTTATGCTTCTCCAGTACCTCTTTGCTCACACAACTATGAAGACAGTGTAGACAAAAGTGTTGCTTGTGTCCATGTTTACTCACACTGTGCAACATTCTGTTAACATCCTTTATGAGAACGTAATGTCTACTACCTTCACCATCACCCAGGAGTAGAAGCTCCATATGCTCATCATATTTAGCCTTGGAGTTCCTTATAGGATAGAACTGTTTCTTACCCTTGTAACCGAACACCGATATGTTGATACTATTTTCCCTCTCAATCTTATCAATATCGCTGATCTTCACAGGGAAGTCTATACCGTCGTAGTCCAGGTTCGTTATGAATTCCCTGTCTTTCTGTGTGATAGTGGTTGCTCTTCTAGCATTAGGATTTAGATGTCTCACATGACTCCACAGGAAACACATGTCGTCATTGTTCTTCATATTGATGAGCCCACACTTTGGATTACTAATGTCCCCTGGAAGTTTCATATATGAACTACCCTTTAATGGTTTGTACATTGCGATGTTTACGTAATGACTCTCAATATTAAGTATAATCCAGTTTGAACCTAAGTTTTGGAAGGTTTCAATTCTAGACAATATTGTCAGTTGGTTTTGAGCAGCAGTACTTTCAATGTCCTCAAAGTTAGTTGCAGTACCAGTCTTAGATTTGAAGTAGACTGAGCCCTTCTTGGTTTTCCCGTCACCAATTTCCTTTGACATTCTCACCTTCAGAGTCTCTGTGTACTTCAACCCACCCATTCTCTTCAACTCATTCACAAGTATTCCTCTCACTATATACCTGTCTACTTGCAGTCATCTGGTCCAGAGGGTCCATATAATGAGGAGTTATCGAGTGAATCACAGCGGCTCCATTTGCGGCTGTTTCTATTTTCCTATGGAATGGCTTTTCAAGGTCTGTTCCAAATGGATCTATTTCGTGTTCCTCTAGTGTAACCACTATAGGCTGCTCCTTGACTTCCCTCGACACCCTTACAGGCTTACGGACCTTAGGAGGAGACACTGGTTTCCTAGTCCTGGGTTTCGGTACAGGTCTTTCCTTAGAAAGCTTAGTTCTAGGTTTCGGTACAGGTCTTTCCTTAGGAAGTACCGTTCTAGGCTTAGGTATTGGTCTCCATGGAGCTACACCCTTAGGTACCTCAGGAGCTTTCCTCACAGGTCTCTTATTAAGATCCACGTGAACTGTGAACTTACCTGGACCTGTTGGAGTTATGACACTATCTGCAGGCACTGAGAGTTTTACCTTCTTCTGATTCAGGAATCTTTCGGCTACAGTTTGCTTCCTGGCCTTAACATCAGTCTTTGCCTTTGGTGGTCTGCCTCTCTTCTTTGGCACCTTCACTTCAGCATCAACCTTTCCCTTTGGTGGTCTACCTCTCTTCTTTGGCACCTTCACTTCAGCATCAACCTTTGCCTTTGGTGGTCTACCTCTGGGACGCTTTACCTTAGGATTCCTTTCGTTTTCGATTCTCTTAATTTCCTCATTAACAAGAACATTGTCTGTACGCCATCTACCTCCCATTGTTGGTGGCAGTCCTTGAACTCCCTTAGATAGTAAACTCTGGTATGCCTCCTCTACAAGTAGCGCCTTAGCTTTTTGTCTGTCAGAGTACTTCCACGTTTGCATAATTCCTCTTTTACCCTTATAGTTCTTAGGTATGCGTCTTGGCTTCTTTGTTTCCATATCACGATCGTATTCGTCTATGAACTGTTTTTCTCCCTGGAATGGGCTTTCGCCCTTGTCATCGGGAGCAATCCTGTAGTTTCTGTTCTCCAAGATGTCTTCTATTCTTGTATCCATATCCTCATCACTGTCTATGATACTATTGAGAGCCAAAAGTTGTTCTACACTGAATTCGTTCATGTTAAAGTAACTCGCCATATTTTCTAACAGTTTCTATATACTATATATGTAAAAATAAATTCGGGTATTTAATTATTAATTTATTTCAAATTTATTTTTGATTTAATTTATTGTTTAATTCTATTGATTTATTATATTAATATTTCTTTAAGTGTAATTTATTTTTGATTTAATTTATTGTTTAATTCTATTGATTTATTATATTATTTCTTTAAGTGTTTTTATTTTTGATTTAATGTATTGTTTAATTCTATTGATTTATTATATCAGTATATCTTTAAGTGTTTTTATTTTTGTTTAATTTTTGTTTAATTCTATTGATTTATTATATCAGTATATCTTTAAGTGTTTTTATTTTTGGTTTAATTTATTGTTTAATTATATTGATTTATTATATTAACATTTCTTTAAGTGTTTTTATTTTTGGTTTAATTTATTGTTTAATTATATCATTTATTATAATATTCACATTTCTCAGGTTTCCATCCAAGCTCAACAAAAACTTTCCCATACAACCTACCCTCAAGGATGTCCACAATCCTTTGAGTCTTAATGTCCTCAGGAGGGTTTCTCAAAGTTATACCATTCATACTGGCTATCCTCAGTTGGTAAAACTTGTATCTAACTATGTTGCGCCCCGTTTGCAGTCTAAGTCTTTGTATACATCTTACTATGCTTCTAAACTGCTCCCTTATGGTGTCCCTATCCATAGAAGCAACATGTTCGAACAAGTGTCTCTCAAACCAACGGACTCTATTGTGACAAGACTTCTTTTTCAGGTAGTCGTCCTTGTTGTAGTTGTAACTAACGTAGTATGAGAAGTTATTCATATTACTGGCACCACACTGTGTGCATGTATCTGCTCCATCTATCATTACAATAGACTTACTTCCACATTCACTACATATTGGATCATATGTGTGTTTTCTCTTTATTCTACTCTCTGCGTGCTTTCTCACAGCAGCCTCTAACTCTTCACGTGTATTTACCTTTTTACCTACACATGCTATCTCCTCAGGTGTTACCATTTGCAACCATTCCATTTCCCTATACTTATAGGTGTGAAAATTTTTATGGCATTTTCTATAGAATTAAATAAGCTGCCCCTCCAACCACCCCACCTGTAATTAAACCAAATATTGCCATATATTCTTCCATTTCAGAGCTAGGTTTGTAGTGATTGCTCAATTGCGGCTTCCTTGGCATAGCCTTACGTGTTAACTCATTGATTCTTCTAACGAGTTCTAACGACTGGTTCGTTGACTTAATATCCCTACTTGCCTCAGCTAGTTCTGACTTCAGTTGGGCAATCCTATTTCTCCTATCAGTGACCTCCTCAAGGTACTTCTCTCTTTCAGCTGTTAGGTTCTCCATTGCCTTGTTATGTCTATGAGCTTCCTCAGCGTATCCATTCTTGTCAAACATTTTAAATAAGTATCCTGCTCCCGCAAACGCAAATGCATTAAAGAGTCCTCCTGCTACTGCCCCTGCCATTGTATAGTTTTACCTAGGTTTTGAATGGATCATCTGGTAGATACTTCTTTTCTTTCAAGTAAGAGACCAGTAGAGATGAAAGACTAACTGAAATAGCTAACTTTGCCATTCCCTTTACATTCTCTGGGGTACCTAATGGTTCTTTCAATAGTTTCTTTGATGCCATTGATATACCAACTGCTCCTGCTGTAAGTAACACTGCATTGTACACTTCCATAGTCATCTTTGATTCTTTACTCATCTCGTTATAATATATGGTATGTTTAATGTATCATTCAAGTGAATCTAACTTAGACTCATCAGCTCTCCTAGTTACTTCTACAGTTTTAGGGATGTACTCAGGTGCTGGTTCCCTAGTTTCCCTCTGATGTGTTTTATATGCTAGCACTAGGGATATCAATGCAATGGCCACTCCTATGTAGGTAATCATACTGTCATTACTAGATGACTCCCTAGGTTCAGCCTGTTTCTTTTTTCTCTCCTTTGCTATTTTACTGATTGCAGCTAGTCGTTTCCCTGCAGCTACTCTTTTTGGGTCTTTCTTCTTTTCACTTGTTACTGGTACTTGAATTTGCTCAGGTTTATCTTCCATTCTACTTGTAAGATACCTTAGGTTTAACTGGGTTTCATCTTATGAGATATCTTGAATTCTACTTGTGAGATAACTTGAATTTACTTGCAAGATAACTCAAATCTACTGGTAAGATAACTTAAATCTACTGGTGAGATAACTGGTGAGATAACTTGAATTTACTTGCAAGATGTCTCAAATCTACTTGGCAGTATGATGGGATTGCTTAAAGATGCCCGACAGTATTTACCACTAAACTAGTACTTGTGTGATGTGAACTTTTGTTTGTACAGCTTTACATCGCTGACTGCGTTTTTCACCCTTACTGTTTTAACTTTTTTCTTAAGTGAGAAGTACTCGTTAATTCTGATACAAATTTGTACCAAGTCATCGGATATCATTGTCATGTACCCTATTTCCCTCAGTCTTTTGAGCCATAAGGCTTGCTTCTCACTTGTAATCCCAGTGCCCTTAGGAGACTTAAGTTCAATTGTGAATCCCATGTACTCCCCCATAGGATTCTCTATAATAAGATCTGGCTGACCACCTTTGTAGCCCTTCTTCCAGGCATCACATCTCTTCGACACCGTATCCTGATACTCACCAAGACCGGGTACTATTACAGCCTTAGGGTGGTTGTTCCTAATGTAACTCACAACTGTATGATGAAGGTCCGTTTCGTTTATGAGGATCATTTGGTTATGTCTGAGTGACCTTCTATCTAGTAATTTGTATGAGCCTGTTTTACGGATAGATGGAAGCACCTCAGTGAATACCCACCTTCTGAACTCCTTTGCTGTGTTAAGCTCCGATCCAAATATTAGCTGATACAAACCCTGCTCCGTGATTAAAATGGTACCAGGCTGACCGTTCAAGGTGGGTCCCTCAAGGGCCCCCCTTTGAACGGACCCTAGCGTGCATTTATCCTCTTCCCAAACATGGTTTCTAACTGCTTTTTTCGTATTTGAGTACCCTAAGGATTCTGCCACATCCTTTGCGTAAAACAGTACCTCCTCACCACTCTTAACGGTTCTTACACTAACATTCAACTTTTGGTTCCTGAATAATTGCTCCATCTTTCCTATACTATATGTGTAAAAATTTTTTTTAGGCTATTTTAATCATCAATTTATGGAGCAGCATACCCTCAGCCCACCCAGCTGCATCCCACTGTTGTGAACTTCCTATTACAAAAAATTATTTTGCCTACTGCATTTCATTTAGATTCTTGTATATATTTACAACTGTTTTTATCGTATCATTTTTAAAAGCTTCAAAGTCGTACTTCAGTGAATCCAGAGTTGCCTGAATCTTATCCAGCTGTTCCCTGTTCTTATCAGTTTTCTCAATCAATTCATCAATTATGTCTTCAAATTCTGTTCCTTCCCAGGTGTTTCCCCAGTTGTAGGGTTCTCCGAGTTGTGACATTCTGTATGTAATATCAGATGTTTAACCTCCTCGGACACTTCCTCAGGTTCCTCCTTCTTATTCCACTTATGGGCAACTACATGTTTAGCTGTTGTACAGCCACCAGATATGAGCCCTATGAATGGTATGTTGGGGGATATCGTTCTGGTTAGATATGCTACGTCATCCTTTAGAAGCTTGTCACTAAGTAGTTCCTCTGACAGTTTCTCTGAAGATTCCACTGCACCAAAACTTCCTAATACAGAAGCAAACTTTGAAATAATAAGCGTTGATAAGAAGTCACTTGCACATGACATCCTCTGACTTTCATACTCATGGTATAGTCTATCTACAACATCCTTGTTAGACTTTCTTATAAAACTTGCGGACTTCTCTATTATACCATCCCTCGATAGCTCTATAAGTTTGTCCCTTTTGTGTTCAGTTTGCGACTTATCTGCGGTAGACTTAGTTTTTCTTGCTTTTTTCTGCGGCACCTTTGCGGCCTCCTCTACTTCTCTTACAGCCTCAAATATTTCTTCATCAGATTCAGTTCCCATCATCTATATTCTACGCGGTGTTTAGTTTAACAGTGTATGTGTAAGGGTGAATAAGTAGTACGTCCAGTGCGGTGAACTTTTCATCTTTTAATATCTTCGTAATCTCTGTAATTGTCTCCTGAGGAACACCACTTAGGTAATCATCTGTTATCACCTTCATATCCCTGCGACTAGGGTTGTAGAATGTAACTAGCCTGGAAATGTTCTCCCTGAATGGACCTTCATATCCCTGCGACTAGGGTTGTAGAATGTAACTAGCCTGGAAATGTTCTCTCTAAAGGGCTTTGCTACTGAGGACAATTGTTGGGTAAGTACAATGACAGATAGGTTGTAATGTCTTGCGGAGAATGCTAAGCGCACCAGTTCTGAGACTCTTTTCTTTACATCTTGACTTGCCGCACAATCGTCCACTATAATGAGAGTCTGAGTACCGCGGAATATGGTGGACACTGCCTTGAGAACTAGATCGATCATTTCTTGTGAGCATGGAATTTGTATAACTCCGTGGTCACTAATATGAGTCCAATTAATGTAAGTCATATTCCACTCTATGGTTGGACATATAATGACAATGTAATCGAAAACTCTATTGTACTCTGTTTCTAACATATTAAGTAAGAACTGAGTCTTTCCACTTCCAGTCATTCCTACTATGAGCATGTTGAATGGTTGCATCTCTATGCTTTACCGTTAGTATTGAATACTTGATAGATCTCTATTGGCAAAGTTAAGGAGAGCATCTGATACAACAAAAATGTTGCATTGAACGTCAGCTGTTGTGGCTCTCTTTTTGATTTCCAGGAGTACTCCCGACTGTGTGTTAACAATCTTCTTACCTCCACCAGTGGTATCATCTTGTGTTGACCTTAGGTCGATTACTAGAGCAAAACCATTGGTGAAGAACTTGCTGATGGACATAAACTCATCTGCCATGGATTTCTCACACATAGGGCAGAAGAATCTTTTTGCCTCTTCAAAGAACCTACTTTTAGGAAGGCCTTGGGAGAAAACTGCATTGGGCACACCCTCAATGGTCAGGTTCACTTTATCAATGTTTGGGTAAATATATTCTTCAGAATCAGTTCTTACTCTACTGGTAAATAGAAGGACAATTGCCGACATGCTCTTTCTGGGGATATTAATGTTTTCATTGACAATGGTAAGATCTTTGTCCCAATTACTTGTACGCATAAGTGTAACGTGTTTGTAGGACAGTGAGCGGCCTGTTGAATACATCCTTGATACTTCACTCGCAAGGGCGTCATTCTCAATGGTCTCGTATTCTAACTCAAGATTGTCCAGTTTATAATTACCCTTAGCTTCACCTCCTTGTGCAGTCATAATCTCATCTGATTGCGGGAGTGTGAGGATGTACATAGGATTGTTATTCATGGAGAACGGTGTGTAGAGTCCATGGTTTATCAATTGGTTTTCTCAGCTTAGAACCGTACACACTATGGAGAAGTGCATCTGCTACTTTATTGGCATCACCTACCTTTACACCTGAGTCATCACCTGAGATTAACTTCCTAAGATTCTCACTTGCGAGACCCTGTTCTGTCATCTTATTCCTGTCACCTAATGTTAGCCATAGATCTTTGTATATTTCGTACAAACTCTCTCCTGAACAGTCATAAGCTGTTTCACCTGCTACTTTAATCTGAAGACGTTTAGCTATCAACTTAGACAGGTTATTATTAAAGTGGCTTTTTGTATTGGAATTTTTGAAGTCAAATAATAGTGCAAGTGATCCTGGAACTAAACAAGAGTCAGGCTTTAGTTTGGGGATGTTAATGTACAGCTCTTCACCTGGGCTAATAGTTGTTGGATTAAATGTTACAACACTTCTAGTTCTGGGACCTTTTACGGATGTCATACGGCTCCTCCTGAAGCCAGGCTGGAGTTCTCTTTCTGTGGTATTCATACTTGTATACAATATGTAATGTTTAGCTGTATTTGTATAGTAAAACTACTGCTGCACATACAATGATTATCCATATATTATCCGCTGCTAACTCTACTCCATCGGCTATCTTCTGGAATACAGGTGGTAGTTCTATTTGGTGGCTTACCAACTCACTGATCCGCTTATCGAGCTTTTCTGTTGTGTCACCTACTTTCCACAATATGTTTCTAGTTGATGCTACCAGTCCTATGATTACAGCTGATGAGGAAATTAGGACAGCTGATAAGATGCCTGCATTCTCCCTTGCCCATAACCTGAGCCTCTGCAGTCTCCTACGATCATCCCGTTTAATGAGATCCCTCTTTTTCACTTTATCTCTTAAGTTGAGAAGTTTATTTAAGTTTGACTCTCTTTGGTAATCATTTGATAGCATTCTGACGTATCTCAGTTCTTCCGACTTTTCTTTGAAACTATCTTCGTCCAAATTCGATAGTATTATTTCATTTAACAGTCTGTCTCCCCTATCCATTAGATCATCGTATGACAGATTAGATAGGTCAGGGAATTTCTCAGCTAATTGCTCTCTCGTAAGGTCCTTGCTCAATATTTTTCTCCTCCTCAGTTCCTGTACGTAATTAATTTCCTCGTTAATATCCTGGGTCTCCTCAGTAGTTTCGCTTTCCCTAAGATCCTTGTCAAGGTACGGTAATTCGCTATCTAAAGTTTCTATATCCATTTCTTCATAGTTCGGATACTTTTCCTTCAACTCCTCCATTTTCTGGTCATCGTATTCCTCTTGGTGTTCCTCCATAGCTAATTTACTTTGTGTAATAGTTGTATACCATTAAGGCTGCAGCTATAGCTAATACCCATAAGTGTGACGCTAACCAGGTAATTCCTTTGGCTCCCCACGACAGCGCCGTTGCAATGGTGTTCAGGATTGGAACTAGAATTGGTCCTGCTTTCTTTGCTAAATTTGCTAATGCTTTTGCTACTTTACCAGTGACCTTTGCTGTCTTCACAATGGCTCCCCTAGCATGGATTAATAAGGCTGTAATTAAACTAGCTGTTGACACTGCTATCCCTACAAGTCCCACCTTTTCCTTTCCTACCCAGTCTATAAATCTACGTAATCTGGAAATGTCCTTTAGTTGTGCCTCTCTTGCTTCCTCTACTGTTCTCTGTTCTAGTGTCCTATCCCTAGCTTCCTTCAAACTGTTAATTCTTTCTGTAAGGGAATTATACTCAGTTGTACCTTCCGCTGACGTGGCGCGTTCCACGGTTTCACCAATGGCTTCATTAAAGTAGTCAGCCTGAACTTGTAACGCTCCATTGGGACCTGTTCTGCCTTCTATACTTGATCCATCAGGTGGGTTAAGAACACCCCTCAGTTCATTGTTTTCCTGCATTGTTAGCCCTGGAAGGTCTCCTAGTTTTGCACTTATGTCTATTAACTCAATGTTCTCACGGTCAGCGTATTCCTTACTACTTTCATTAAATTGCGGCTCTTCTTTAGTATCCTCGTAAATTGATTCATCACTTCCAATTATATTGTCAGGATCCGTAGGTACCTCTTTTATTTTCTTTAGAAGGTCCTTATATTCTCTCAGAGCAGGTGAGTCCTTTGAGTACACAGCAATCTTGGTCTTACCACGTTTCATTATTTGTGTCCCACTTTTACTAATACCCTGTTCACTTCTAAATACCAACACCTCTGTGCCATCCTTGAGTGTTCTGACAGATGATCGTTTTATGAGTTCCCTGACATATTTATTCTTAGGGTCTAGTATTAGTCCCTCACCTTTAATAACTCTCGCGACAGCTTGAACACGCTCCACTTGGTTTTCGAAATCTCTCTTTTTATTTGCTGTTGAAATCTTATTTAGTTTCTCTAGGCGGGCTTCTATTTCATCCCAGTCAGCGTCAAATGATTCGTTGAATGCATCTAGAACATCTGGAAGTAAATTGTTTGGGTCTTCCACAAAGTCGACTCCTTGAACGGTTGTGCTTCCTGATGGTCCTGAAATGTTCACTGTACCATCATTTCCTTCGGTGAAAGTTGTTTCTTCTATTGCACGTCTCTCCATGAGATTCCTTACACAGTCTAGTTCACTTTTAAGATTAGTTATCACTATAGGATCATCACCATACATAGCCTCTCCCCTCACCTTTGTATCTAACAAATTAAAAGCTGTTGTTAGGTCATCATAATTGAGGTCGTCGTATTGAGGTTACGTCTTTTCTGTCTCCTCCAACTCAATGTCATCGTAGTCCTCCATAATACTTTAACCTATGTTAGGGACTTGATGTCTCCAGCTGGTATCCAACTGTTAAATTTGTCATCATAACCTAACCACTTAACTAGGGCCATCTTTTTACCCTTCACTGTTCTTCTCCTTAATACTTTCTCTATTCTGAAATCAGGTTCTCTTCCTTCAGCGCTATACAGTTCTTGTTCATAGAATCTGCCAATTATTGGTTCATCAGCACTGTCTTTTATTGTGTACGTGTTTGGATGACCGTGATACACTTCCGTCACAGTGAACAACTCCTCTGTGAAATTTGCTTCGTACCCTTTTGTGAACACTGATTTGTACTTTGAAATTCTAACACTTTCTCCGACAGCAAACTTTGGTTCTGACGGCTTGCCTAAATTGTGACTAAAAAGTGTCTTCCATACTTCAGTCCAATTGGACTCATTTACACTGTCTGGTGTTGTTTTAATTGATCTGTTCACTGAACTGTTGTAATTATCAGTTAAGTCTTGAAGGACGTCTAACCATTTATATGTACTGGCACTGTAAAAGTACTTCCACATTAGCGCTTTCAGTGTTCTGTTAAATCTTTCCACAACTGCGGCCTTTTTATCTGAGTAAGTAGAGAAAAACTCAATGTTATGTTTATTGAGCAATGACTTTACTTCTTTGTTGTAGAACTCTGTGCCTTGATCAAACTGGGCGAATTTTGGGTATTTACCAAAATGATTATTAAATTGCTCTAAAATGTTACTGACTGCGTCCTTCATTGATGTCGCGTTTTTCCTATACACTGGTACTGTGAATGCGTACCTACTCAGTATTTCAATGGATGTGAGAATCCATCGGTATCCCTGGTACTGTAAATGCGTACCTACTCAGTATTTCAATGGATGTGAGAATCCATCGGTAGCCTTTGTTCTTGTCATCATATTTTGTCATATCAACTAAATCCATTTGTAACTGTTCACCTAAAGTTTGGACGTACGTCTGTCTAAACTTATGTTTCCTGAATACTTGTCTGTACCTAGTGTATGTGTCTTGCTCGTTTATCCATTTCTTGACCTGGTTTCTGGTTACTTCAAGTCCTTCCGATATTGCTCTAAGATATAGTTTCTCTGGTGTTTGGAATCCAGTCTTAGGATTGTAGTAAATATCTCGTAGTCCTTGTTCTTTCATAATATCGTCGTCCATCTTATATTAACCAATGTAAGCTCGCTACTCAAGGTACATCTCGATAAGCACTTCACCTATATCAATAGGTTTCCCGTCTTGATCTGTCATGTGGAATACAAGTTCTGAGAAAGAACCCTTGATAACTGAAATCCTGCTTTCAACATCAATGTAACTAACTACCGAGCCTAATAATGGTCTGTCAGTTGGAACTGTGACACTTGTTATTACATCGCTAGGTCTTCCCCAAGGGTTAACATTGTAACTGCTACTAACTAGATTACAGTGTATATTTACGTATCGTAGCCAGTTATTAAAGTCAACTTTGCTATCACTTGTCAAACTTCTCCCTTTCAGCAGGATCATAGGATTAAAAAATCTATTAAAACCTAACATAGTCAGTAATCGTGTTTCTATTGTGGTATCTTGTTTTACTGCTTCTATTTGGCATCCTGCTGTTTCAGCAAAGTACAGTAGGTTAGCTTAACACCGTGTCTTTCAAGTAACTTCTTCATACTGTCAAATGTGTAGTAACCTTTATTAACAATTACATCAGATTCTCCATCATCTGTTTTCACTTTGAGAATAGTTGTTGGTTCCCTTATGTTGAAGTACTCCCAGAAAACTGATACTCTCTTCACAAAGACTGATTTATAGTTGCTTGTTAGAACTGAGTTTTGTAGTGATACAACTGTGTGCGAGCTCTGGAGTAAAATTGTGAACTTCATCTTAATAACATACGTTAGGTTATTAAGAATGAGACTAGGTGGAGGACAAGTTGGTAAGTCGCCGTATCGGTCGTATCAGGACTATGAAAAAAAGTATGAAGATCATGTTGATCCTGTTGCTGCTAAAAAGGCAGAGGACGCTGAGAGGGCTAGGTTTATGGCAAGTTATCCTTTTGCAGATATGAGAAGATTTAAATTTGAAGCAAAGGCTACTAGTAGTGGTGATATAGGAGTTATCACTTGGTTTGTTGATTTAGATGGTATATCTTCATATGATATTAGATATGACGGTTTCAAGAAGGATAAGGAGTTTACATCTTATCTCACAGGTACTAAGAAAATTATTACTCCCGAACAATTTATACCTATGACTGACATGAAACAGCCTCCCATTGAGAAAGTACCTAAGGTGACAACACCTTCTCCTAAAATTCCCCTGAAACCAAAAGGATGGCCACATCTTTGGAATAGTAATGGCACCGTTCAAAAATATGAACCTCTTGTATTTCCAAAGGATCCTACTTACGATGAAAGAAAGTTGGGTCTCAGTAGGGTTCTAATTCATGATGACGGCTATCATATTAACACGTATGGACCTCCTGTAAGCCTTCCATACAACTTTAACAACTTTAAGATCTATGTAAATGAAAACAGTTATTTCATGTCTAACTTCCCTGATGCTGGTGTAGGTTGGGATAAAGGTCCTAATTTAGCTAATAAGGATGTAAGAAAAGTTTCCTTTAATACAATACCATACACTAGAATGTTGTCTGGCGCCTACATAGCTAGCTATCTCAGCGGTGTATCCCTAGAACACGTTCGTGAAAGTAATTCCGTTCCTAAAATAATAACATCCATTATGAGGTACGTACCATCTTTACTACACAACTAGAAAGTTAACAGTTAGTAAGGATGCTATTGATAGACTTGGTGTCAACCTTGACATTGTAAGAAAACACATTCCAATAAATCAGAATTATATTATTGACGGAAGTGGTGCTACAACTACTGCAGGACCTTTGTCTGGCAGTGATTACCTTTCATTCATAGCTGAAAAAAGCAATGGCTTTACTAAGTTGGGCGTTGAGATTATCCAGGAAAGCATTGAGTCTTATGTTTATGCTATGCTGGGATCTCAAGCTAATATAAGGTGGTCAATAGAAGGAAGCGGTCCGAAGGCTCTTCGAACGCAACGTAACTTTAGAACTATTGTAAAGTCTACTATTTTACAAAGTAATACGGTAACAACAATTAGCAATATGAGGAAAGCTGTGAGGGACACCAATGTGATTCTACACACTGCTCTATCCCCTGGAATAGTTTTAATCCCATCGAACTTTATTATTCTGAAAACTCCGATACTTGGTTATAATAACCTTCTAAAGACGGCAACTAATACAATGAAATTTCGGGTGAATCCTAAGGTAAACTATGTTGGTGTTAAGCAAGTTGATCCTCCAAAGAAACAGCATCAAAATAGCACACCAGTTCAACACCTTGATACCCTTAGTGGAAACACGAAAGTTCCGGGGAGTTCTGTAAGTGTTGCACCTCCTAAGACTAGCACACCTATCGCACAGCGTAATGTGGTTAGTACCCGTGAGTCCTTAGGTGATGGTGCTTTAGCTGGACTTGGTATCGGGTCTGTTACTGTGTTTCTTATATTGAGAACTGTTCTGTGAAACATTGTGTATGTTATAAAAATGGCTCTCTATAGGGGATACAACAAAGGAGTAAATAAAGTTGATCCATCAAGTGGCAGTGTGTTTGATAAGAATGGATTTACCATGAAGGGTGACATTGAGATGGATGGTAATGAGGTAAAGGGTTTAGGTGCACCAACAGACGATACGTCTGCGGTCACAAAAAAGTGGGTGGATGATGAGATCATTAAACAGGCTGCTGTTACAATTCAACCAGCAGGGTTTACAATGACTGGGGATATTAACATGGGAGGTAATAAGATAACTAATCTTGATAATCCTACTAATCCAGGTGATGCTGCTAGTAAGAGTTGGGTTGAAGGTAGTCGTAGACATATACATGTAAGTTTACCCGGTCTTATCCTAACAAATGACCTAAATATGTCAACTAATGAGATAAAGGCTTTGGGTGATCCCACTAATCCTTACAAATGATCTCAATATGTCAACCAATGAAATAAAGGCTTTGGATGATCCTACAACTGGAAAGTCTGCTGTTAATAAGGACTGGGTAACTAGCATGATAAATAAACCTGTAACTGGGGACCTTGATATGAAGGATCATGAAATTAAGATTCTTAAGGATCCTACTGAGGATCAGTCCTCTGTTACAAAAAGGTGGTTTAGCTCAAACAGGGGAACATTTCTAAGGCTAAGCGACTCTTTCCTATCACAGAGTGTAACTGGACCTATCAACTTCTCTAAAGCCCCTAGGAGTTTCGCGGATGTGTTAGATCCAAAAAGTCTCGTAAGGCTTAGCCAACTAACTAGTTCGTATCTTAAACTAAGTGGACTAAATGAAATGACCGGTAATCTTAAGATGGGTGGAAATGAAATTGAAAATATCGGTGACCCTAGTTCCAGTACATCTGCTGTTAGCAAAAGGTGGGTTACATCAGGATTCACCTTAAATGGTGATCTAACTGTCGCAAATGGTAACTCAATCTATATAATCAACAAACTTGGTGCAAAGGTGGTTGTTCCCGATATTCAAACCGTAATCAACCAAATCTCACGCTTTTCCCTAAAACTGGACGGTTCAAATGAAATGACTGGTGTTCTCAAGATGGGTGGAAATGAAATTGAAAATATTGGGGCTCCTAGTGCTGATACATGTGCTGTTAACAAAAAGTGGGTAGAAGATAAGATTAGTGGAGGTAGAAGTAAGCGTGAGACTTACAGCGGTCTTACTCTATCTGACGACCTTGATATGAATAATAACGAAATAATAAAATTAGGTGCTCCTACAACTGATAATTCTGCTGTTTCCAAAAAATGGGTCACCGATCACGTTAGTGGGAGTTCAATTAGTAGTAGCGGCTTCACTATGACAGGTAATATTGACATGGGAGGGCATAGTATTACAGGTCTCAAAGGTGGATCAGTTGGGGATACCGCTGCACTTTCCGCTAATACTATATACTCCTGGTGTAAACAGTTCCTGAAGCGTAATGGTGGTACTCTAGATAGTGATCTTGATGTTAACGATTATGAGTTAACTAGGGTAGGTAGTCCTACTACGGACGGTTCTGCTGTTAATAAGAAATGGGCAACCGATGAGTTCATGAGTAGTAGAGGTGGACTGGTAAAGGGTGATTTGGATATGGGAGATTCAAGTGGTATTCTTGATCTAAGGGATCCGGTAAATGATAAGGATGCAGTTAACAAGCAATGGGTAGAAAAGAATTTCCTAAAACCTTCCTCAGGTCTAACCCAAGCAACGGCTGATACTAGATATGTAAGGAAAAATCACCATATCTATTCAGAATGGATCTGGGGTTATCGTGGTGTATCAGTTGCAGCAACAAGGTACTATGCTTACTGTCAAGATCAAATTCCACCTTCATGGAGAACAGATACTATTAATAATATGACAGACCTCAACCTTGAGTCAATTACTATTAAATCAGATTACCCACTTCTTTCAACTGTTACTAACATACCCCTAGGACTCATCCTGTGGGCTACTGTATGGGAAAAGCAGTCTAATGGAAAATTTACACAAGCTAAAAAGGAAATCGTCCTCAGCACAATCGACTTAAGAAGGCTATCACACACTTACTTCAACGGAACTTACACAAGTAATGGTGGAAGTACAGCTTGCTATGTCTTCAAGGGTAATAGTATGTTCTATTTAGGAAACCAGGCTGAGTTGGTAGATAACACGCTAGCCTGGTGTATTATAGTTAAACCGGAACACTCAATGCCAACTGGTACGAGTATGGACTTGTCTTTTTGCTGGGCATTGCGGTATTCAGGGTCAGGTGGATAACATGTGTTGTATCATAAAGTATCATGTCAAAGTGGCGCTCATGCTTCTCCTGTTTGGGTAATATCTGTGGCTGTCGTAGGAGGTCTAATAAAAATGGGAAGGTTGGTGATATAAATTTCTCTGTATCCAATGATATTAAGGTTGAGGTGACCACACAGGGTAAAAAGGATGACGCCAACAGTGTATCCGGACTACAAGGGCCCCCTGCCTTGTGTACCCCCAAGGAGAAAATAAAAGTTGTCGAAGAGGCTCTGGAATAGGAAAATTGAACAATATTGGGGAAGTGTAGGATTGCACTTAGGATAATCGTATTAGAGTCTCAGCTGGACTGGTAAGGTGATCCCGAAGCTTTGAGATAAGTTAAATGAAAAACAAGAATAGCAGTTTCACATTCCAATTAAATGGACCATGGAACTGCTGAAGTCTCGGGAACCCACTCGTTGAGGTGTGGGACCATTAATTTTAATATAATAAAAATAAATAATTAATTTTTACTAAAGGTAAAAAACTAGTGGTCTAGAAAAAAAACAACTACTGGTCTAGAAAAAAAACTAGTGGTCTAGAACCGGCAGTTCCTATACTACTCAAGTGGTTGGTATATTTGCATAGGTTCGAGAAGTGCAGTGTTGATCAGGTCAGTGATATCCTTATTCGACATTCCATCGATGCCACTAATGTGAAGTTGTGAGCGAATATCACCGGTCGTTGCAGCAGGGACCATTCCTGAAATCTTTTTAACCTCATTCCACCACTGGCTTGGTTTCGTATTCTTGAGGTTTGCAACTCTGGAGGTGTAATATCTACAACGAAGCACTTTTCTTTCACGGTTTACCACATTTCGGAGCTGTCGGAAACGATCTTGATCACCTTGTGCGTAGGCTTTCTGGCGTAGTTTAATAAGAGTTTTAAATTCTGGGGTAATCCAGGGAGCATCAGATCAAGGAAGAGTTGTAATTTGCTTTCACAGCCAGTAACGAAATCAAGAAACGACCAGTCAATCGAGCTCAGATACCTTCCAAGTTCATGCCGGCGGCTCAGACGAGTATCCCTTCGAGTCACAGAACGACGGCTACAGCTTTGTGCAGTTCTCGGTTTAGGCTGCAACAGTAACACGGAATGGTCAGATAACCCAAAAGGCGGAAAGCTCTGCAACAAGTTCATGTCATACAATTGAGGCATGTTCGTAATAATGAGATCGAGAGTCCTTTCGCCTCTTGTTGGACCGCGAACGAGCTGTTTTAGCTTGAATTGCTTAAGGAGACGACTCACATTTAAGCGATTAAAGTCACCTGTTATTAATATACCACACCCAGGGTAACGACCTTCGATAACAGTTAGTGATGATGCCAGGTAGTCCAACATTGCGTTATCACTAGCACCTACAGGGTAGTGTGTATGGTACACAGTTCCAACAATTACACAGGGTATACCTCTGGGGAGTCGCGTGGGTTTAATGTATGTCCAAAGCACCTCAAGTTGAGGGTGGTAGATGTCAGTGAGAGCGTTAAACTTGATGGAGTTTTTTATGTAAAGTCCGACACCACCATGCACACCAGAAGTACGGTTCTTCAATAGCAGATTATAACCAGGAATATTAAGATGGTGCTCGCTAATAGAGTCATTGAGCCAGTTTTCAGTTAATGAAATTAAATCAGGTTTTGTATTCTCAACAAAGCATCTCAGCTCATCAATCTTTGGCGCAAGCGACATCATATTGGCAAGAGCGATGGCTGGTCCAAATTCGTTGTTAGGGCGCTCGTCAACAGGAACTTGTAGATGTGACGGAGATAGGTTGCCAAACTGCGCATTCGGTAAAGTCGGACCTGGATTGGTAGCGATATCACCAGCAAGGAGGATACACAAGACTAAATGCAGGCTTTTATGTTTTATACTGAATTCCAAACCATATCGATGTTTGCAAGGATAGCTGGATTTTCGTAAAAATATATCTCGCGTTGACATCCAAATAAAACACAATTTGTCAGGTAACTTTGCTAGTTCTGAAGATATAATGACTCGTTTAAAAGTTGTTTCATCGTCCAAAACCGTAAGCTGCGGTTTAGATCTTGTAAATAACCAAATAACGCGGAATGGAGTAAGAAGCCAGATGAAAAGTGTCTTTAAAATTTCAAAGGTTTTGCGATTGTATCTTTCCATTTTCAGTGGAAATCGTAAATAACCAATTATTAGAGTTAAATGATTTTAATGAGTTCTAATTACAGTTGCGCGTCCACTTCAGAGTTCAAATTTTATTCTTAACTTTTTACGGTTGATCTGGTCGCGTGCGTCGTATGCTTGCGTGATCAAATTAAACGGTTTCACCAAAAGTCTGAAATGAAAATCGACTAAATTGCGAATTCCAAACAAAAGTTCCCACCAAAATCACAGAATAGGAAGTTATACCAGAAGCGTAACTCGAGCAAATATTTGTCCGCGTTTTTACAAGCGATTCGTCATCAATCACGCCATCCTGGCTAGTACAACCGGCACTTTGTACCTACCAAATCCTGATAAAACTTCCGGCTGTACTAGCCAGGATGGCGTGGCCTGACGTGAGCGAGTTAAAATTTTCGTGGACGTCAAACAATAAGGGAAACGACTAGAGTTACGCTTCTGGTATAACTTCCTATTCTGTGCCAAAATACAGCAAACCAAGTACTAAATCCACAGCTCCGTAGGTGTATCAGGTAGATCTAACCTTTATCCACAAATCTGAGTTATTTTCAGTGTTATTGCGCAAAATTTAGTGTAGAAAATCACATTAAACGCGGAGCATTCCATCAATATTAAGTTCATGCTCGAGGTTATTTGCCATAGAAAACACACACTTTGCAAGAAACGTCATTTTCGGTCACGTTTCAGCGAAGAATTCTTAACTGCTAATTTCCCGATTGCGACAAGTAATTGTGTTCTAGATTAACGTTTATTAACGTTTACGTCTGCCAGCTTTCTTTTATTTTCCCTCCGCTGCAGTACGAGAAACAGGGTAGCGAAATCTGTGTTTTTGTTGTTTTCACAATTCTTGCTGGCAAAAAGAAAGCGTCCGCGATCAATTTGGTCAACGACGACAATTTTCCCACCTGTTTGCCTGTGTAGGTAGTGACAACAACAGAAAAGCTGTGAATTGCTAGGAATTCAACTATCTGAATATCAGAAGAACGAGCGAAGGCCCTCGTTGCACCCTTGGCTCGCAACGTCAAAGTTCTGCTGATATTTTTCAGGCAGTTGAAACTATTAATTCACAACTCCTGAATTTATATCTTACGTTTAATTCCAACAACACCACAAAGTGTGGAAGGGATACGAATGGAGCCGCCTCCGTCTTTACCAATGGCAACTGGACATATACCTATACAGTAATAGAGAATGAGACGTAATGTTTAAGATTTCAAGCATAAAGCCCGGATGAAACGAAGATGAGAGTACATGAGAGTTGGCGGTCACGTGATATTGGTTTGCTGTTCTAAAAGTTTTCCCAACACTTTCATGTATTATACTTAAGTTAAAATATAGTTGGAACACTTATCAAACCTTTATTTTGTTTGAGAGTTTCGTCAACTCTCATGCCCTGGTCAAACGAGAACAAGAGTTGCGTGACAGTTCAGTTGACTGGTCAAATAAGCAAAAATACTCGTCAACTCCCATAAAAATTTGAACCATGATGTTAAGCTTGGTCCGGTCAAATGAGATCAGGGCTTTACTCTACTATTAGATCAGTGGCTTTACTCTATAAACAAGCCTATACCAATCCAGACTGGAAATGTTTCGTGCACGGCACTAAAAATGAAAACAATCGCCACCAATCCCTGTTGGTTCGATAGCTCAATGCTCAATAACTAAAGTGGCGAACCGGAGTACAGAAGGGGCAAGTTAAAATCCTGCTCGAGTCAACTTTCATAGTTAATTTTGGTAGTGTAAAAAACCTTTGTAATTTTCTCTTCACGTTTCTCTGAAGATGGTTCTGTCATTGTAGAAGAAAAACAGAGTATACCTGCAGCCACAGCAGAACCAGATCCTCCAGAACTTCCGCCAGCATAGCAGTCAAGATGATATGGATTGCGTGATGTACCATGGCAACTGAAAATTTGAAAACTAAACGTTAACTTCAGACTTATTTATTTATTTATAACGTTGTCTTATACACATGCAAATATGATTGAGAGGAATGGACCTTTAATCTTATAAGTAAAATTTTGATCTAGTAATATTCCAAAGTTTCGTTACGAAATGTTGTAAAATGCGGACAATATAGCCCTGCGAAGTTTGCAATTTTCAGTCATTTTAGATTACAAACGGGAAATTGATACCCAAATCGGGTGTTTGGGTATCAATTTCCCGTTTGTAATGTGAAATGACTGAAAATTGCAAACTTCGCAAGGCTATACTATCCGCATTTTACAACATTTCACAACGAAACTTCGGAATATTACTAATTTTGTGATGCTCTTTCAAGCTGTGATGAAATGTTTGTCTAGACTTGTCTAGATCAAAATTTTAGTTATAAGGTTAAAGGTCCATTGACTATACCTTAAAAATACAAGTGAAACTTCGACGTTTCGACCAGAGGCTCTTCTTATAAAACGTCAAAGATTTGCTTGCCTTGTATTTTTCAGGTTATTGAACCCTCTCAATCCACAGCTTTCTGGTACGTGTTTATATTGTCACTGCTACGCTGGCACAGAACTGGGTAGTTAATATGGGTAATCAGTATAAATTTTGCATATCAAATGAGCTTTCACGCGTTCTGACTGGCTAGTTGACTAGTAAATCTGACGCATTATTTACCGCCTGGGTATACCCTGGATTCCAGAGCCTTCGACAGTAAATAATAAATTGAAACGTCGCGAAGGCTCTGGTTCAACGGGGAGATTCTTGATTAAACCTCGCCAATCACAAAACAGAATTAGTGGTTTTAGTACAGATTCTGTACTAAAACCACTAATTCTGTTTTGTGATTGGCGCGGTTTAATCAAAGAATCTCCCCGTTGAACCAGAGCCTTCGCGACATTTCAATTTATTATTTACTGTCGAAGGCTCTGGAATCCAGGGTACCGCCTGGGTAGTAAATAATGCTTTTCAAAAAGAATAATTCGGCAAATTTGGTTTCAAAATCGACAAAATATTGAAAAAAATCGTCCCCAGAAAGCGAAAGCTAGAAGGGCAGAATGTTGTATTAAACTTGAAAGGTAGGATTCCTTTATTATTTTACTGTGTGAAACATATTCACGGACAATTTAAAACTTAGTAAAACTCTGAAACATTCACTTCAAACAAATAGCAAAAACTATCCCGACTGTTGGGAAAAACCTTGCCGAAAAGTGTTATTAAAACTTTGTTTCGAACGCTATAGTTTTACATTTTATTTTACCAAATTTCTCAGCCATTTCCTGAACAATTAATGCTAAACGGAAACTATTTTTTAATTCTAAGTCTGGTGAAAAGTCATTCCGTTATTGTGTTTATATTCTAAGCAGAAATCGAGAAAAACAACTTTGTAATTGCCAATTTGAAAGCTTGTGTGTACACAACCTCGTTCCCAGGGTTGGCGTGTACAAGAAACACTGCAACACTATTAGTGACAGACCGTGAACAGGCCGAAAACAGTTTTATTTCTGAATTTTAATTCAACTGATATTTGGATATTTTGTTTTATTCATTAAAAATTTATACTAAAACAATTATTCGCCTCAGGCTCAGTGATTACAGTTAATTCACCTCGACTTCGTCTCGGTGAATATTCACCGGTAATCACTTCGCTTTCGGCGAATAATTGTTAATTATCATATACTCGGGAGTGCTTTTCACGCATTTTGATTGGTTGCTCAGTTCCGGATATCCATGCACTATTCACCTCCGGCCAAAAACAAAATGGCTTCCCACTTTGTTCCGGTTACAGTCGAGCAAATTTTGTCTTTTTTAAGAAGCTGCCGTTTCCGCCAAACACGAAGAAAGCCACAAAGTTTTGTTTACCGCAGTGTGCTGAGGTTGAGGTATTCTTAAAAGGACAATGGCAAAAAAAACATTTATTGTCTTATTTGAAAGGTTTAAAATTATCTACAAAACTTTGTTACAGATTTTTCATATCAAGCTTAACTCTTGAAAATTTTGATTGAAAGCAATGAGCTGTCCGCAATCTAGGATTAATTCCTTATCTAGTTAGCTATTGTTTTGATGACGTCCACGGCGCAATGTTCGCCCATTGGGTTAGCCTTACTTCTAAATTACTTCTAAGTTGCTGAGAAACAATCAAAAGGTGTTTGAAATGTCTTTATTCAATTCGAGAAACAGGAACCAAAAACGAGTTTCGGGTTGATATTGATCTATGGCTGTCAAGATAAAAAAACTTGTGTCATCCCACTTGTTGCGTAACATGCATATCCTCAATAATCCATGAATGGGGACAGCTGATTGCATTCAGTCAAAATATTTCAAGAATCAAGCATAATATAAAAAACTGTAACAACATTCTATAAATAATTTTAAACATTCTTTCGAATGAGAAAATAAATTTTTTTGTCGCCATTGTATTTTAATTAAATCTATTTCTAAATTCGAATGAATAAAATTACTAAAAGCTTATAAATACTGTTTTGTACATGACTGCTAGCCGTCTATCACAACCAATTACCTGTTTGGGTTAACTCCAGTAGTTCCCAGTCCTAACTCATGCATATTGGTCACTCCAATGATGATGGCTCCAAGACCACGTAGTTTAGCCACCAAATTGCTATCTTGTTCTTCCACCACTTGCCCCATAAACACTGTACCACATCGCTTATGGTAACCTGCCTAAATAAATTATAATACTTCAGAGTTTTTTTTACTTACTTTTTGGACGCATAAATACTGGAACGATAACTCCAGGTAAACGGCCTTATGATTGGGTGAAAATTGGCCAATAGAGAAATCTCTTATACTTACTTTTTGGACGCATAAATACTGGAACGATAACTCCAGGTAAACGGCCTTATGATTGGGTGATACATTGGCCAATAGAGAAATCTCTTATAGATTGGCCAATAGAGAGATCCCTTATAGATTGGCCAATATAGAGAGACCTCTCAGTAACTCCAGACGAAGGGCCTTCGTTGCAACCTCTCAGTAACTCCAGACGAAGGGCCTTCGTTGCATCCCTGCCAACGAAAACTTGTTTATAAAACACGCGTGTATTTCGCGTGAGCTTCGACGTAGCTGAAAAATGACTAAGTTTTCCGATCGATGTTTTCCAATTTTTGTACAAAATGCTCGTAGGTAAATAGGTAAGATTGTAAATGGGTAAGATTGGTGCAACTGCAGACCATATTATTCGATGTTTAGTTTAGCATTTACAGATTCGTCACGTAGGCTATTCCGCAGGACGGTTCCTCTATATACGCAAAACTTTTCTTAAAGCGACTAGGTCAAAGATCTTGGGACAAAAAGCTTTGCCTCGACAGAGTGGCACAACTTGTAGTTGTGTAATTACATTAGTTGGTGTCAATTTGCTAGTCGGACACCATTTTGTTAATCTTTTTATACAGTAAGACTCCCAGAATTGCGGAGAGCGTCTTTTCTCAAGGTTATCCCAGTTTAGGGAGTTCAAGATCTGAGCTGAACGAACATTGTAGTCGGACTCTGCAATAATCCGTGCAGTTCTATTTTGTAATTTTTGAAGCTTGCATCCCGGGGCCTTCTCCAAATTGCCCCAGATGCTACTGCAATAATCAAAATGTGGTTGGATCAACGAAATTGGATAAATGATGACGTCCAACTCATCCACTTCAATGCTTAAGCTTTTGCAGTTTTAAGTCCCTTAATATTTGCTTTTTATGATGAAGTGTTTCTAAAATTTGTTTATTCTGAAAGACCACATGCTCTAGTTTTTTTTAGGTCTATGGTTTAGCCTGACAGAAGTGAGGAAGACATAACACCAGGCAGACTGAGGTGGCTAGGCAGGATACTGATATTGTGTATTTGTGCTTGTAACTATTGTAATAGTACCGATACCAAATGGATAATACAGAGGGGAATAAAATAGCAATTGAAAAATATTCAGTAGGAAATAGAAATAAGAAGCCCATTTTTAATTACGGTGCATAATTTAAATTTTTTGCATTCACTTTGAAAAAGCCATCATTCGCATTATTTTGAGAAAGGTTTGAAAACTTGAATTCTTACCCGGAGGAAGGTTGAATACTTTTTGCAACTCTGAAGCCTGACTTAAAAAAATAGTAGGCTAAAAATTTATTACATTTCTACATAAATTGATTTTTCGTACTGAATTCAGTGAGTTTCTGCGTATGGGGGTCTAGGAAGTACCAAGTTAAACGTAAGTTCAGCTGGAGAACACAGTCATGCATAGTTCAAGTTTCTGTGGAGATTCTACAGTACGCAAGCTTAGTTAAAGTATAAGCTACGGGAATGTGATTCGCTTACCACTCCAATTTCCTCTTTGATTGCAACAGGAATGCCATCAATCAAAGATAAAGTTTTATTCTCAGCATAACGTCTTGTAGATTCTTGTGCCATCTATTGAAAAAAGTATTTTAAACTGTAACTCACGGGAGAAAGACGGAAGAAATCATGGCCGCGTGAAGGAACTTGTATATCTCATACACTATGAATGATGCGGATTTTAATAAACTTTAAGTACTATTATAGACATCTTTCGCATAACCCTATTCCATATGCTAATGTTCTAATATAGTGGGAACCTGTACATTAATTTTCAATGAAGCATTAATTAATTAATTAAACTTCTACGCAAATCTGAACACAACCATGCACAATTTTAATTTTGTATTACATGCTGTAGAAATGCCCAGATATTTTAAACCTTGCAGCAACTCAAATTACATGCCGTGGCTGTGTGAACGATTATATTCCAGCTTTATATTTAGAAATCTTTAATCGGTTTACGCGCCTTTTGGCTAGAAAGGTGGCTAACTCAACAACTACTGGCTGAAACATTGTTGGATGTAAGTCCGTCTACAGTTTCAACTTATTATCCACAATGTTGTACGTTCCTGTTTTGCGGAGATTTTTTCATAACCAGTTTTAATGGCCTAGTATTGAAGAATACGATATTCTACGATAGTTCAACAGTTCTACGAGGGAACTGGCATTCCTTTCCAGACGCCGTCGGCTGTGTAGATGAACTCCACACGAAATATATCGACCACATGTGGAGCCCCAACGGCAATTCTACAATGGACATCGACACCACGACCTTATATGGACACCCAATTAATTGTAGATAATGCAGGCAATACTGTTTTCCTCCAGGCTGGTTTTCTAGGTGCACAAAATGACTCTGCCAATTTTCTTTTATTGGAAAGGATTGGACCTTTTGGCTGTTACTAACCATGATATGTCTCCCACTGCTGTACTTCTGACGGACAAGGAATACGCAGATACAATTCCGTTATTGACTGCTTTTCGCACGGGCCAAATAACGCGTATATTTTATGGCGATTCCTGATCATAAAAGGCGAGCTCGAACGTTCAACAGAAGTCTATTGAGATGCCGGGTTTACTGTCGAGCATATACCATTAAACATTTAAAAACGTATCTCGCCGTTAACACGAACGGCGTCATCCTCGATGTTTTCAGCCAGAGTTAGCCACTTTTCTAGTCCAAAGGCACGTTGCACTATTTCGTGATCTTTAACGGCTTAAAGATATCTAAATATAAAGCTGCAAGTAATCGTTCACACAGCATGTAATTTTAGTTTCAAGGTTTAAATATCTGGGTATTTCTAAGGCCATTGGAATTAAAGTCATATAGATTTGCGTCCGGGTAATTTTGAAAAAGCATGCGGCTTTTTTCATTATTTATTATTCATTATTTTTTTACCATTGTTTTGGGTGGTAAATACAGAGATAAAAACACGAATTACCGTTCACACCATGGAATTACATACTGTATATCACGAGCACACGCGGTCGCAGCATTGAAGGATCGTGTGCCTGCATGAATAACGTCTCTGAGAAAGAGAAATGCAGCGCTTTCTTATATATCATTGGTCAAGATGGCGGAGATATCCAAAACACATTTGATATTGAGACGAGCGAAGTCGACAAAATAAAACCGTTAATACAAAAGTTTGAAGATTATTGCATACCGAAGCAGAATACAACAATGCAGCGATACAAATTTAATAAACGCGTGCACAAGGCGAAACCGAATCTGTTGACCAATATGAACTACGGCTTTTGGCGAAAAACTCATAAACGTGGCAAAATAATTCAATTTTTACATAGGACGAAAGAGCAGTTATTTAGCTTTTATACTCTTTTTAAATCGTAACGTTGAGAAATGGCCACATATATACTCGTTTACCGGTCGAAATCACATTCTTCCACCGTTGGGAATTGCATGGAAAACGAAACATAGACAATTCCCAAGAGGGAATTAAAATTGAAATATAAATTAATATCTAAAATGAGCTCAACTCGTCAATCTTCGACTTGGTGAGACCATAACTCAATAATAACGTCATTAAACATGGTTATTGGTTAATAGTTAACATGCACAACTCAACGAAAACGAACGAATATTCAGTTATGTTAATAAGGATAGCTTATTTTATATGTCAAGATTACAATTAAACATGCATATATCAAAACATAGTTATTGTTTAGCAAATGGCTATAAATTGAATAAAAACTATATCGAAGTTTTATATAGTCTTTGGGATGTGTTATTTGGTTTTAGTTAGGCATACACTTACTTTTTGACATTCTCTGCATGAATAGTGAATAGCGATGCAAATTGCACTTTTCATCCTTGTCTTTATGGAAATATTAAATGCAAGTATATTTTAATATTAAATGCCTTGATGCCTTTCAACCGTAGTCACGATGGACGAGTTACATGAGACTGCAACCGCTCCGCAATTTTTATCAGTTGTACCTAATCTTTTATTCTCCGTTTATTTATGTGTACTGAGTGGGAATATTGAATAATTGTTAGAGGAAGAAAGGTATATCTCAGCTTAAATAACGAAGTAAACCATGCACTAATTGTTAACCGCTAATCTCACCTCAGCGTTTCTATAAATTATTATTCCTTGCAATAACTGGTGCCCAAGCGAACATCCCAACTCCACGTATTGAGGGAGTTTTGTTTCCTAACTTTATGAGTTTAATGGTCCGGACTTTTTCAACGAATTACAGCAATGCCTGCCTGTCAATGTGAACATTTGTTTTGTTGTTTAACATGGGCAAGTGTCGAGTCCTTTCTAAAATATTGAATATTTGACAATGGATTTCGAACAACTTATAATTGTATTATCCTTGCGAGTATAAGTCCGTCCGCTGTGTAATACCAGTCGCAAATTCATGATGTGCTGTCAGCTGTCTCAACCAATGAGAATTAGCTCGTTTGTTACGTGGAACGGTATGTGATTATAATATTCGTTCAATATCAGACAATAGTTCATGATGTGCTGTCTCTACCAATGAGCAGGCCAGATTCTATGCATTTCGACGAATAGATCGTTCGTTTAATGAGGCTATACGTTCGTTTTCGTTGAGTTGTGCATGTTAACTATATAGACGTTATTAGACGTTACTGGCTTTATAGACGTACGTTACTGGCGTTATTGCTTTTAAACCTACTATAAGTACTATAATATAGCGACTTCATGATATATGTTATAATTGAGCTGCATGAACAATTATTTACAGTAACATACAGGAAGGGTAAGGCACGCCCATTTCTTTGGCGAGAGGATAGTATTTGGATAGTTACCGATATTGATGTTGTTTATAGCGAAGTTCAGATTTGATTTCCATTACCGTTACTTGTTACTGACTTTGTACGCAAGTGATTAGTTAATTAACGAACTGGACTAAACGCCGCATTTGGTCGGTTTATGGTTCCTTAGTTGTAGCGGTCAGTGGCAGTCGGGAGGTTAAAGTGGAAGTCAAGTCCGTAATGTAAACAAACGGTTTGTTTACATTTTGAACTGCTGTATTTTTTAAAATATGATGTACTATCCGAAATCTAACACCATTTTGGTTCGCTATTGCTTCTAAATGAATATGAAATAGAGTTTATGTTCAGAAAAATTCGAAACATTCGAAATTTAGGTGATTTTTACATTAGAGGGCCCTCACAGGCCCTCACATTGTTATGACCAGAACCGATGCGCAGAATGGACTTGACTTCCACTTTAAATCTAAACCTCGCTATTGACATATTATTATTTCGCCTTAACCCAATGTGAATGTGAGGAGATGAAAGTGAATGAGAAAGGTAACTTTAGAAGATTATATAAAAAATGTCTTTAAAATCAAAATTAACTTAGGTGTTAAGAAAACTGCATATTATAAACTGTAATAGTACATGCATAGAGCATAATCTGCTGATAGCCTATTTCTTCACGGTCTGTTTGTTTGAACGTACAACAGAAACTTTTCTTGTTTTCTACACCTATCCGATACATGCAATATATATTTTCAAAACTGAGTGTTCGTTTGAGTGTACAACAGAACTTGTGTATAAAAGTTCTCCAATTGCAACAAGAATAATATAAACAACGTCAATGTGATTGATTTATGGGATGAATATCGTTTCATTCATTCAGTCTTCGTTTTCTTTCATTTGCTTCCAAACATATCCGTGTAGCCACGCCTGTAATGCTTTGTCGTGTGCCTTCATACGACGTACAATGGCTTCTGTACTTTTCTTCACCACGTCAAAATTAAAACCCAACTGCGTTACTCAGTTGGCTATTAGGTTGAAATAGAGCCGAATGTTTTCTGCGTTAATTGGAATATGTAGGCTGACTAGTAGCTGTAGAATGCATTCAAATATGAGTATTTCTGTGGGATTCCATAGTCGTTCTATATTTACATCCATTTTCTCCATGAATTCTTTTCCTGGAGTCATTTTAGTCGAAAGGGAGTGCCTTACCCTCTCTCTTGAAGGGCCTGAAGTCAAGGAAAATGGACTTTGAGCGAGAACTTTGCGCTTTCCAAACGGGTTTTCGCATTGTTTACATAAGCAAGCATCGTTACAGGCATTCTGGTTATTGTAACATGGACATCTGGATGCATAATTACCCTTTGAGGTTACACAAGCTCCTTTTTTTTGTCGCCACGTTTTCCATTTTTACCACAAGAACATTTGTTGGCTGCACAAAAAGACTGTTCAGTTGGTGTTGATGCAGTGACAGCGGGACTGTTCGATTTCCCAAGATTGACTGCTATCCCCAACATCATTCCAAACTACAGAATCGTAATGTCCAGCGCGACTTTTCTTGTGATAAAACAAAGAAGTTGCCGAGTTCATAAATGGTATATATCGTTCATTAAATATTGCTCTGTTTACACTTTTTTCTTTAATTTCTCTTACGATCTGTGATAAAACTTTAACATTCTCTAATATTTCGATTAAACTACTATCAGAAATATCATTGTCTTCCTCACTTGATTCTCTTTCTTCTAGTTCAGTGCATAAATCAGTTGATCTTGGCGGAGTTGTTAATCCAAATTTAGGTGGCATTGAAACAGACTCTTTTTTTGGATCAATTATATGTTCTGTGACGTATTGAAGACTACTTTGTCGCTCAGACGGCTTTTTCACATCTTCATTATAATGATCAAATACAGACATAAGAAGGGCGTACGCAAACTCTGTTCCAACCTTGGAATATTTCATAAAATTATTAATTCTTTTATGTAATGATTCATCTCTATTTGTCCCTATTCCAGGTCTTATATACGACAGACAACCTTTGGTAATGTGGGGTCTAAGCTTATTAATTTCCTCCAGAACTTGTGGTGTTAAAATGATTTTACCATCATGCGACTTTACGTTGCTCCATCGTCGAACAAAAGCATCTAAATTATTTCTTAATTTTTCTGGATTTGGCGTAGATAGCAGTCTCGCGTCGCCCAAATCACGCGAGTCTCTAAAAACATGTTTTAAAGACCCTACAAAATCATAGAATAGTGAGTGTCGTTTTGAAGTTTTTTTTGTAATCCTCTGTATTGCATGAAATAAGTCAAGTTTTACTGCAACTGTGTTACCGAAAACACATTGCAACTTATTTCTCACTTTGCAACAATCATCAACATATACTTCTTTAAGTGTTTTTGTTTTAGCTTTTAATCTTTGATTGATTTCTTTAAATGTATCTATAACCGTATCGTGCGAAGTATCGTCTGCTAATTGCCAAGATAACACTTGTCCGATATCATTGAGTACTATAAAAAGAGATTTAAATTGCTTGACCCATTTTAAGCCATCTTTATCGCGATTTTGGTATATTCCAACGTTTGTAACAGATTTAAATGTATGATCGCAGCAGATCCAATCTTCATAAATGCCTATTTCGTGCATTCGCTTCCGATAATAAACCTCGTACTTCCAGAAGTTCTGAAGAAATGATGACAATAAAATCTTACTTCCAGGACATAACCTACCATTTATTGAATTCTCAAACTTGAAAATGTTGCTGTTTGTTTCAGTCTTCCCACTAAGTTCAAAAGAACACAGAACCTTATGATAGAATGTTTCTCTTCGTGTTTCACGTAAAGCGTCTTCTACTGTTGAGATTTTATTCCCCTTGCTGATGAGTGACACGACCAATGAGAGACACTGTATTGTAAGACCAGATCGGTGGGATAATATAAATGGTATATGATTCTGAGATGGTAATCTTCCTAGAAGTCGTTCATCATGGCTAAGATACCGATGGCCAGAGCTGCAAAGGTACACCCTACTTACTAGCAGTACAACTCCGTCAATTCCGTGTACAAGTCTTGGCATTGCATTTGTATTTCGTCCGTTCTGCCATTCTTTTCTTTCCATGATATGTTCGCAATTCTCGGCCAAGCATTTTTTTATAACGTCACACAGTGTAGGGTACTGTATAAGTGGATCCCATATAATAATATCAGGAATAAAATTGTAAATAACAATTGGTGTCGCCTCCATGACCGTGTGCATATTTTTTATTGGAATTTCTTTATATGGAATACATACTGGGGACCATCGTTCCCTGTCGAATTGTTGTGTTATTTTCTGAACATAAGATATCCACTCCAAAGGAATATCAACACCGTTAACTTTACTCTCAGAACATATCAATATCATCACCACCAACGAAAGTAGTGCCAGGAAATGTCTTAAGCGCTTCATGTTTTGAAAAATTGCCAAAGACAAAGTCAATGCAAGAATAACGTTTTACAAGAATAATTACGTAGCAAGGGTATGGCGCCGTTAAAAGCATAGATTGCTCCAAGTCTCTCTTTCATTGTCATATCGATCCACTATAGTGTATATTACATGACGTAGCACGGAGAGGCACCGTGACCGCATATGTCTTCTGACTGGACAATAGCTCACATCTAAATATGGAAATGACACAACTTGTACATTACTCAGTTATCTGCTAGCAGGCAACGGAGTTACAATCACATATGTAATTTGAGGTAGTCCGAGCGCCGATTCTCACTGTGATGAACTCTAAGGGACGGACCATTAGAAAAGTGATGGGGGGGGGGGCAAAACCAAAAAAAAAATTATTCCCAGAAAAAAATTAGGGGAAAAAATCTTCCGAGGCATAGTGCAAAAAAAAAATCCTTCCTTGGAAGATAGGCCTATAAATTTCAGTTAAAAAATATATATCCAGCCATCAAGTGAGAAAAAAAAATTCTCCTATAGGTGTACAAAAAATATATATTCAGGGACGCCGGAACGATAATAAGGCAAAGGGAGCGGACGCACACCAAGGGCACCTCTTTAGAGCAAAACCTCAAAATCTACCGTCGCCAAAAAATTTTCGGCCAGTGTACCATTTTAGGGGTCAAAATTTTTTTCCGGACATGCCAAAATTTTCCGTGAAGTCAAAAATTTTTCCGCATATCTTAAATTTTCGCCATTTCTTCAAAATATTTTTTTAAATTCCAAAAAATTTTAGAAAATTTTTATAAATATAAACTATAAATTACCTGAATCTGATGATTTTCCTACAAAAAGCATTGTTGGAAATGTGATTTATCATGTAGTATTTTACAACTAAAAGGGCACTTCTGCCCCCCCTCCCCCCCCTAGCAAAAGGCAAGGGGGGCAGCCGCCCCCCCAGCCCCCAGTTCCGGCGTCCCTGTATATATTGCCTCTTAGAAAATCCCCCCCCCCATCACTTTTCTAATGGTCCGTCCCTAAACAGTATTGACTACAATTGGTAATTTCCATAATTAGAAATACTCGGAACATAACCATATATGGTATAATTAGTTTGTTATTGTACAGAGACAAGTAGACATGTTTTACACGTTTATTGTAAAGTTGCAATTGTTTTATATTCCGAGTCAGTATAGAGCAGAAGTTTGCACTTTGCACTGCTGAGTGACTGGCTTTCAGACTTTATAACCAATCAGATACAGCGTATAATTATTATAATAATTAAGCAGTATAAAACACCCACCTTACCATAGTCACACTCAGACACAGGAAATCTGCGTACTGAACGGTAAGTTTATGTATATACTGAACAATTCAATTTCATGTCAATAAAAGAACATTTTTTAGTTAAACCACTGTGGTTAATTTAAACCCCATGTGCTATCCAATAATTTATATGTACTACAATTTTTTAACAGAAATGGCATACCAACATAAAGGAAAAAAAGGGTCTAATAGAATGTTTCTAGGCGAAATTCCTACAATGAAAATCAAAGAAATAATACACGAGGCACGAAACGTTTCTTTCCCATGGGAAGCAATTTCGAGTCCTGTGCGACCATGGATAGAGGCAATGGCCCGTGCAATAAATACGCAGCCCGAATTCGTGTTGTTGGAAGCATTAACGGTGACCTCGTGTCTGATGGGACCAGATTGCGTTTTTGAAATAAGGAATCGGCACAAAGAACCATGCAACATTTTTACCCTGTGTCTTTGTGAACCTGGTACAGGGAAAACCCATGCGTATGAAGTTTCCGTGGAAGATCCTCTCCAGGCGTTACCAATTAAAGTGCTTGTACACAACTATACTCAAAAAGGACTGTTTGAGCACTTAAACAGCAGAGGACGAGCTCTGATATGCCATGGCGAAATGTCAAGCTTCTACGAGAATCTTCTGAAGCGCCAAACCGAGGGGAACGGCGAAAGGCAAATGTTCTGTCGCTTTCATGATGGAAATTCAAAGATAATTAGAACAAGCCATGGCAAAGGGTCCAAAAAAGAAGGCGCGTTACAAGACGAACGAGAAGAGCTCGAAAAATCCTGTTTGTCACTTGGTGGCTTTTGCCAACCCCAGCCCTATCTGAACCTGCATCATATGCTTGGTACTTCAGATGACGGTTTCTTGGATAGGATTAGTACATGTCTCGTAGATTCTGTAATCCTTAGGGAGAAGGAAGTGTTATGGCGTGTGCATTTAAGTATAAAATTTATTAAATGACTAATTATGCAAATTATAGTTTGTTATGCATGATTGACATTGCACATTTTGTAAGGCGTTTAAATACTTGCTAGAAGATTAACTAGTCAGTTGATCATACGATACGAAGTCGAACAGAACGCGTTTTCATTTATGTTATAAGTGACAGTATAATGATCGAAGTTGAGTTAAAGGTTAAACGAACTTGCTTCACCTAAAACGGACACAGATGTACGTACTTGTGTATTTATTACTCTGTGCATTCATGTTTACATTTTTTGTAGTATAGTTTAGCATGCATGTATTTCTTTATCTTTGATTTTAGTTTTTTGTTACCTATCCGAATACACCGAGCAGCGATGGCAAACTCTTAAACGGCCACAATGCTGAACATGGATTGAGTTAACAACGTCTGTTTTTTACTGAATAAATTTTACCTAATATCGATTCTGTGAGACAATAGTAATTTACGTGCACTTACATCGTAACAAAAAAATCTATAAACGTTTTACCGAGATACAACGAAACGTTCATAGTATGTAATCGCTCGATGAATTGTCATCTTTGAATAGATAAACTAACGTTTGAGAAACGGTATGAGTACTTCAAGAGTTGACGAAGATACGCATGAAGACACACAGCCTCAGATATTTGCCGAGGAAACAGACAATGTTGATATACAATCAACAGGCAATCGACAGCAGAGTAATCGTCAGTCAAGTACAGAAGAAACAAGCTCGGTTGACCACGATGAGAGTGAAAAGGGAAAATCAGGAAAGATCGATCGCCTCAGACAGCGACGAATAACAGCTCTTTGTGCCGTGACACGACAAAGGAATGCATTGTCTGCCTTTATGACTGATAGTAACAATTTGCATCTGGTCAAACTTGAGTTGTCTCATTTGGAAGAACGCTTTGTAGAATATAGGAAAGCGTGTGATTCTCATCTAAAAGAACTAAGCGAAGACGAGGCAAAACAAGCTGTAATCGAGCATAACAAGTTAAAAGAAAAAGATATTGTAATATACCTAAGTCAAGTGTCGTCATGGATCACTGAAGCAGAACATAATTTATCTGACCGCCTGGAATCGTTAAGCAGCAAAGTCTCTGATCGCACTCGAGCATCTCACCACACTCGCGCATCCAAGACTAGTTCAAGATCGTCAAAGCTTTCTGCCAGACGGCAAGAAAAGGTCAGATTGGCTGAGCTGATAGCCGAGAGATCCATGTTAAAGAAAAGACAAGCTCTTAAGAATGCGGAAGAAGATCTAAAATTGGAAATAGAGATAGTCAAGACGGAAGCGAGGGAGAAAGCTTTGGCGGAAATGAGCGAAGATGAATTGTATAGTTATAAGTCAAGACGTCCCGTGTCCTTGTCGACCGCATCATCCTACCAACAGCTTCCTGCTTCAAAGGTGCCTTGTCAAAGTTTTCCTTCTAAAGTACAGATAGCAAGCCAACCAAGTGAAATATCGCATAATGCTACAGAAAGACGTAGTGTGATGCGCGGTGGTCAAACATTGCCTCAACGTAGAAACCAGTCTTGTGATTCAAAACATTCAAAACCGCAACAAGTACAATCTCCATCAAATGCTCGACCATTTGAATACGAATTCCATACGTTCGTAAATCCCACCTCAGCGTCAAATGTTAACAATGGAATAGGAGTTGCAAAGAATCCCCCTGATAAAGAACCGAGCCCAAATACAGCCAACGTGACAGAAAGTGTGCTTGAAAGTATGATGTTACTTCAGCAAAGACAAACTGAAACATTGATATCAACCCATCAACAGCTCACCGCTTCAATGACTTTACCACAACCATCTATAAACGTATTTAAAGGTGATCCTCTAGAATACAGAACTTTCGTTATGTCCTTTGACACCCGAATACAGTATCGAGTTAATAACAACGCAGACCTACTGTATTATTTAAACCAACATTTGAGTGGAGAACCGAAAGATATGATTGAAGTTTACACATGGATCCGGAAATAGGCTATACGGAAGCAAGACGGTTGCTGAAGAAAGAGTATGGGAATCCATACGAGATATCCATGGCGTATATCCAGAGAATCCTCAATTGGCCACTCATCAAATCGGACGAAGGAAAAGCCCTAAAATCATTTTCCCTTTTTTTGATCAAATGTAAGACCGCTATGAAGAGTATTTCTCATTTGTGTGTACTTGATCATGCACCGAACATGCAAGCAGTGGTCTCAAAGTTACCATTCCATCTACAAGCAAAATGGAGAGACCTCGTAGCCAAGATCAGAAGGGACAACGCAAAGATAGCAAACTTTGAGAACCTCGCCAGTTTTGTCCAATCAGCTGCTGATGCTGCAAATGATCCAGTGTTTGGGAAACGAAGCTCTCAATAAAAGCAAAGAAAGCTCCAAGAAATTTGATAAAAGAGACAGCATTCAGTTAAAGAACAAGAACTCTAGTTTTGCAACAAATCCCACCTTAATACACGGGGCCGGGTCAGCAAAACCGATCATCGTCTGTCCATTGTGCAACTCCTCTCACGACCTGGACGACTGCCAACTTTCTCTGAAGAAAACCGTCGAGCAAAGAAAAGAATATTTCAAGCAGAACAAGATGTGTTTCGCCTGTTACGAGAAGAATCACATTTCAAGAGGCTGTTTACGAAAAAGAAAATGTAAGAAATGTAACAAGCCACATCCATCTGCTCTTCACGTTGATGACTTTAAATTAGAGAATCAAGTTCGTAAAAGCGAGGAAGAAGTGAAGAATGCATGTACCAAAATGCGCTCCAATTCTCCAAACGACGTGGTAGTCGTACACGCTATCATATCCGTGAAAGTCAAGCCGAAGGGTAGTACCGAAACAGTAAGTACTTATGCTTTTTATGACAATGGGAGTGGAGGCTGTTTTCTAACAGAAAATCTTCGAGAGCAGCTCGGTGTGCAAGGTCAACGTACGAAGTTGCAGCTTGGAACAATGCTCGGTCGTAACTTAGTGGACAGTACCATTGTAGAAGATCTGGTAGTGACCGATATGAAAGACTTGAATGCAGTTGAAATAACAAGACTGTATACAAGAACCGAGATACCGGTAACAGACAGACAAATCCCTACACCTGGAATGGTTCAACGGTGGCAGCATCATCACGAAATTGCGAAGCTGATTCCAGAGTTTCAACCAGATCTCGAGATTGGTTTGTTAATCGGTAGCAATTGCCCAGCAGCACTCGAGCCTTTAGAAGTCGTGCCCAGTCGTGGTGAAGGTCCCTTGGCGATGCGGCTTCGTCATGGATGGACTTTGAATGGACCTTTGTCTATATCCAACACATCACAATCTGACATCACGTGTCATCGAATTACTGTTCGTGAAACCAATGATACAGTTAAAGAAGTTATTTCACCCGAGGCTATTGGAAGAATGTTTGAATTGGACTTCAACGATCATAAAGTTGGTCCTGATGAACGAAGCTTTTCCCAAGAAGACAAGAATTGGACTTCAACGATCATAAAGTTGGTCCTGATGAACGAAGCTTTTCCCAAGAAGACTCTTAATTTCTAACTAAGATGGATAATGGCATTCGTCTAACCAAGGGCCATTATTAGACACCCCTGCCCATTCAGAAATCCAGAGATGGTATTGCCAAACAACAGAAATCAAGTATTGAAACGAGCATTGTGGCAGAAAAAGAAAATGCAACGTGATACTAAATACCACCGTGATTACTGTAACTTTATGAACGAAATCATTTGCAAAGGTTACGCTCGAAAGATACCCGAGAACGAGGTTTGTCCAGCATCTGGCCAAGTATGGTACATCCCACATCATGGCGTCTATCATCCGAAAAAGCCTGAGAAAATACGCGTTGTTTCTGACTGTAGTGCTGATTATGCTGGAACATCACTAAACAAATTACTGCTACAAGTTCCTGATCTTACAAATTCTCTTATCGGTGTCCTTACCCGCTTGAGAAAAGAACCAATAGCCTTTATCGCGGACGTAGAGGCTATGTTCCATCAAGTGTGGGTACCAGAAGAACAGTGGAACTACTTGAGGTTTCTTTGGTGGCCAGAAGGTGATTTGAATGGGGAAATAGAAGAGTATCAAATGGTGGTGTGGAGATGTAAGCTTAAATCCAGGTCCTATGGATGTCTGTCAAGCATGTAATAAGGGATGTAGGAAAAATCAGAGAGCAATTCAGTGTGATGACTGCGACAATTGGTATCATGTTAAATGCATAAACATGGCCGAACCGGAATTTTTACATCTCACCAACCCTGAAAAATCAGAGAGCAATTCAGTGTGATGACTGCGACAATTGGTATCATGTTAAATGAATCAAACCGCCTGGATTTGCATTTCGTGTTTTTGTCCATTATCTAGTTCAACGACCTCAGACTTAAATCCTGAGCCCGGAAATCCTCAAACGGACCAGGAACCAGATATTCGTCTAAGAAGAGGTTTAAAAATTGCTCACTTAAATGTAAACCGCCTAATTTGTAAGTTTGATGAAATCAAAAAACTTATTGAAAAACATTCTTTCGACTTTTTGGCTTTGAGTGAAACTTGGCTAACATCGAGCATAAGCGATGACGAACTCAATATATCTGGTTATACCTTTGCTAGGAAGGACAGGAGTGATCCTACGAAGTCGCAAGGTGGTGGCATGCTTGTGTATGTTAAATCTTGTATCCCTTATAGTATAATATCGAGTCAGCCCAATTCAACAGTAGAACAAATTTGGATTGACGTGGCAAGGCCTCATTGTAAGCGTATGATCATTGGTTCGGTTTATCGTCCGCCGGACTTAAACATTTCTGTTTTTGTACAATGTTTAAGAACATCGCTTAATAAAATCTACTCTGACGGCTGTGAAATTGTGATCTTAGGTGACTTCAATGTTGATGTCATTAAAGCCGTTCCAAAAGAGTTAAAGTCATTTGCATTGGAATTCAATGTGGACCAATTAATAAAAGATCACACAAGAATAACTGAATATTCCAGAACAATAATTGACCTATTGTATGTTAACAATGGTCATAAAATAGTTCAAGCTGGAGTTATGCATCCACTGATCAGTGACCATTCACTAATTTTCTGTGTAATAAAAGGAGGAGTTCAACGCGTGCCACCAAAGCAATTTGAATATCGTTGTTTTAAAACTTACAATAAAGAAGTTTTTGTGAGTGATCTAAATGCCGTTCCTTGGTCTGTCATTGAGGGGGTTGAAGATATTGATGAACAAGTATTCATATGGGAACATTTGTTTAACGAGGTTGCTGATTCGCACGCACCGATACGATTTAGGCGTGTAAAAGGCGTTAAAAATCCCTGGGTTTCTCCCGATTTGATAAAAATGAGATATAACAAACAGTTCTATTTCAAAAAGGCCAAATCGACAAACAGCTCCCATCATTGGAAAAAGTACAAGTCGCTGAGAAACTCTACAAATCAGTTAGAGAGGAAACTTAAGTCTGAAATATTATTGTAAACTAATCGAAGACAGTAAAGGTGATGGGGGAAAAATGTGGAAAGCGATAAAAGAAACCCTGCCACATTCAACAAACTCTGATATAAACGCCATATATGACGATTGCAAATTACGTACTGGAAGCATGACCATTGCCACGATTCTTAATAAATATTTCACCTCTATTGGCAAAAAGATTCAGAAAGTTTTTACTAATATACCAACTATCTGGGCCAGACAACATTAAGTGCAATTATCCATCTAAATTTCAGCTTCTAAGTGTCACAAGTGAATATGTTGAATCTGAGTTGCTCAAGCTGAAATCTAACAAAATGCTGGATTAGACAAGATTAGTGTAAGAATGATGAAGGATGCGGCTGGTGTAATTGCTCCCGTACTTACAAGAATTATCAACAATTCCTTCCTTAATGGATGTTTTCCTAAGAGATGGAAATCCGCAAAGGTGTTTGCGTTATTTAAAGATGGAGAAAGGACATCTAAAGATAACTATCGCCCTATTTCAGTCCTCTCGGCCGTTAGTAAAGTTATCGAAAGGATTGCACATGATCAACTGGGTGGTTACCTAAAGGAAAACTCCATTCTAACCTCGACGCAATTTGGTTTTCGAGCAAATCGTTCAACTGAAATGGCCTTGACTAATTTTACTGACGACATACTCAAGCATATGGATAATAAACAAGTAACTGGTGTTGTTTATCTAGACCTGAAAAAGGCTTTTGACACAGTAAACCATCAAGTTCAAATGAAAAAATTAAAGAGAATTGGGGTTCAAGGTCAAACGCTGTGCTGGTTTCAATCTTTCCTTTCAAACAGATCTCAACAAACAATCATTGCAAATTCACTATCTGAAAGTTTAAAGATCACTGTTGGAGTGCCGCAAGGCTCTATACTTGGACAATTATTGTTTATAATATACATTAATGGTGTGAATTATTGTTTATAATATGCATTAATGGTGTGCAATCATGCTTGAAAAACTGCCGTATGGTGATTTTTGCAGATGACATAGCAATGTTTTGTCCGGCTTCAACAGCAGTAGAATTACAAGCCAAACTGGACTTTGATCTACAAGGTGTCATGAATTGGCTACGGAACAACAAGTTGTTGCTAAACGTTCCCAAATCAAAACTGATGATTATCGGAAATTCAAGAAAGTTGAAAGAGTTTGCGAACATTCAGCTAATCGCAAATGATACACCATTGGAAAGAGTCCAAAATTTTAAGTACCTTGGTGTTGTTATTGACGAGAATCTCTCTTGGAAGAGTCATATCGAAAAGTTACGTTAAAAGTCTCACAACGCCTCGGCATCCTACGCAGAATAAAGCACCTGCTACCTAAGCATGCACGGATAATATTTGTCAATACAATGATCACGTCATTACTGGATTATGGTAGCCTGGGATGGGGAGATAAGAAAAACAAGATTATGATAGATAGTTTACAAGTATTGCACAACAAGGCAGCAAAGTTGGTACTGGATAGACCAATGCTTTCCTCTTCTAGTGATGCCCTAAGAATATTACACTGGTCTACCTTGAAGCAAAGGCGAAGTATACGTAGATGCCTCTATGTATATAAGTCAGTAAATGGGATAAATGATATTGATAATACATTCATCCGAAATGCAGATGTTTATGGTTACAATACAAGACATAAAAACGATTTACGGCCAATCAAATCCAGTACTTGTAAAGGTCTACTTAGATCAAACTGTGATTTCATTGCGGACTGGAACCTTTTAGATCAAAATATTAGAAATTCGTCTTGTTTATCTTATTTTAAACGTGCTGTTTTTAAATTTTTTAAATCAATATAGAACGAACTTAACTTTTAATATAGTCTACTTTTTTCTATATAGAAGAGAACTCTTAACTTTTTTATATAATAATATACGGAATGTAATATACAGAGCCCTGCTGAAAAGCACTTGAGTAGTGATGTAGGCTGTCTGTTATAAATAAAGTTGTTATTATTATTATTATTATTTATTCGGAGCAGTCTCTTCACCGACTTGCTGTAACTACGCGTTAAGGAAGACTGCCGCAGACAACGAGTCAGATTATCCAGTTGTTGCTGAAACTATTCGAAGAAACTTCTATGTCGATGACTGTTTGCGGTCAGATACAACTGAAGAAAGCGCCACGAAGTTAGCACAAGATCTGAAGATGGTGTGCGCAAAAGGAGGATTTCGTTTGACCAAGTTTGTCAGTAACAGTCGTGCGGTTCTCGAGACGATCCCAGTGGAAGAACGTTCAAAAGAAACCAGAACATTGGATTTAAACCGAGACATGCTACCTATCGAACGTGCTCCTGGCATGCAGTGGTGCGTCGAATTAGATGCTTTTGAATTTCGAATCGTCCTTACCAATAAACCACCTACTAGAAGAGGAATATTGTTTCCTCCGTCTACGAACGGAACTGTTTCCTCCGTCTACGATCCTCTCGGTTTCGCGGCTCGGTTTATACTCCCCGCGAAAAAGATACTTCAAGACCTTTGTCACGAAGACATCGGCTGGGATGACGAAGTTTCTGATGAACACAAGATTCGTTGGGAAAGATGGCTAACTGAGCTTCCTTTACTTCAGAAATTGGAAGTTCCACGATGTGTTAGACCCAAAGATTTTGGAAAAGTGGTTTCTCAAGAAATTCATATTTTCTCCGATGCCAGCATAACAGGCTATGGAGCGGTAGCGTACCTTCGTTTATGCGATGAAAGTGATAACATCCATTGTTCATTCCTAATGGGCAAAGCTAGTTTGGCCCCCAAAAAGATTGTGACGATACCACGCTTGGAACTCAGCGCCGCAGCAGTATCCGTTCGTATCGGAGCGCTGTTAAAGAGTGAATTGGACGATATTTATGATCTGAAATACCACACCGATTCCACAAGCGTCCTTCGCTACATCATCAACGAGCCACAACGGTTTCATGTGTTTGTCGCCAATCGTGTTCAACTAATTCGTAACTACTCAAACCCAAATCAATGGAGATACGTCGAAACATATGACAACCCTGCTGACGATGCTTCGCGAGGAACAAGCGGAGAACGCCTACTTCAGCAGCGACGATGGTTCGAAGGTCCAGAGTTCCTTTGGAAACCAGAACAAGAATGGCCACAACAACCAATTGATATGGGTCAGATTAGCAACGATGATCCTGAAATCAAACATCAAGTTCGAAGTAATGTAACTATGATTGATGACCTAAATAATCCTACGAACCAATTGATTCACTCCATTTCCTCATGGCATCGGTTGAAGAAAGTAATAGCCGTATTTCTTCGCACAAAGAAGATTCTACGAGACAAGATACAAGCTCGTTCAAGTGTAAACAAGGAAAACTTAATCGCAAACAGTCATTCCAACTCCCTCTCTGCTGAAGACCTAGCCCAAGCTGAGATCGCCATCGTAAAGTTCATTCAGTTAACTACGTTTCACAAAGAGATAATGTGTCTTAGCAACATCAAGCTCGAAGACTCCGCAGACTACCGGAAGTTTCAGAAAAGCAAAAAATTGACTATCAAGAAAGTCAGCTCGATCCATCGTCTCGATCCATACCTTAAAGACGGAATCCTTAGAGTTGGAGGCCGACTTAATCGTGCAGAGCTGTCGCCAGAAACTGCCCATCCAATCATCTTACCTTACAAGAATCATGTAACAACCCTCATCATTCGTCATCTACACCGACAGTTAGGTCATGTTGGACGAAATCATGTTATCGCAGCTATTCGCGAAAAGTATTGGGTGATAAAGGTTAACGCCGCAGTACGACGAGTCCTCTCCAAATGTATGTTTTGCCTTCGCCATCACGGAAAAGTTAGCGAACAAAAGATGGCTGATTTACCCGAAGACCGCATTACGCCAGCACCTCCATTTACCCACACAAAGGTTGATTACTTCGGCCCTTTCATCCTAAAAGAAAGACGAAAAAAATTGAAGAGATATGGGGCAATTTTTACTTGTTTGGTGAGCAGAGCTGTGCATATCGAAATCGCTAATCTCTCGATTCAGATTCGTTCATTTTGGCACTACGTCGTTTCATAGCTCGCCCTGGTCCAGTAAGATGTTTAAGGAGTGATAACGGTTCAAACTTTGTTGGCGCGAATAAAGAACTTAAACGAGCCCTAGAAGAAATGGATCAAAATAGTATCCGTAATAGTATCCGAGAAGGAATCGAAATGGCAATTTAATCCACCATCGGCTAGCCACATGGGCGGTGTGTGGGAGCGCCAAATCAGATCTACGAGAAAAGTTCTGGCTGGGTTGATGTACGAGCATGGAAGTCGTTTGGATGAAGAGTCGTTCAGGACTTTGATATGCGAAGTTGAAGCTGTAATTAACTCCAGATCATTGACGGTGGTATCAAATGACCCTTCCGATTTGCACCCACTAACTCCTAATCACCTCCTTACAACGAAGTCTGCTGTGACACTTCCTCCGCCTGGACATTTTCAGAAAAACGACGTTTACCTACATCGTCGTTGGCGAAGAGTTCAATACCTGGTAAACCTATTCTGGACTAGATGGAAGAAAGAATACCTTCTTACCCTGCAAAACCGAAGCAAATGGCAACAACCTAAGCGTAACCTGATGACGGGAGATGTGGTAAATTTGAAAGAAGAGAATACACCTCGTAATATGTGGCCCTTGGGCCTAGTCGTGGACACAGAACCAGATTCTCAAGGATTCATTAGGACTGTAATGGTGAAGATAAAAGAAACTGTGTATAAAAGACCAATCTCAAAGATTGTACTTTTATTGGCTAAAGTAGATAAGTGAATTGTGTAAACTTCTTGCGAAGTCTAGGGACCGGGAATGTTATTGGGTTTGCATTTAAGTATAAAATTTGTTAAATGATTAATTATGCAAATTATAGTTTGTTATGCAAGATTGACATTGGACATTTTGTAAGGCTTTTAATACTTGCTAGAAAATTAACTAGTCAGTTGATCATACGATACGAAGTCGAACAGAAGGCGTTTCATTTATGTTATAAGTGACAGTATAACGATCGAAGTTGAGTTAAAGGTTAAACGAACTTGCTTCACCTTAAACGGACACAGATGTCCTTACTTGTGTATTTATTACTGTGTGCATTCATGTTTAAATGTTTTGTAGTATAGTTTAGCATGCATGTATTTCTTTATCTTTGATTTTAGTTTTTAGTTACCTATCCGAATACACCGAGAAGCGATGGCGAACTCTTAAACGGCCACAATGCTGAACGTGGATTGAGATAAAAACGTCTGTTTTTTCTGAATAAATTTTACCTAATATCAACTCTGTGAGACAATAGAAATTTACGTGCACTTACACTCAGAGTGAGGAACCCTTGTCCTCAGTGTGAGCTACCTTGTCCTCAGTGTTGAGGTACTTTGTCCTCAGTTGAGGAACCTTTTCCTCAGCGTGAGGAACCTTGTCCTCAGCATGACGAGCCTTGTCCTCAGAGTGAAGAACCTTGTCCTCAGCGTGAGGTACCTAGTCCTCAGTGTGAGGTACTTTGTCCTCAGTTTGGCGTACATTGTCCTAAGTGTGTAGTACCTTGTCCTCACCCTGAGGAACCTTCTCCTCAGCGTGATGAACCTTGTCCTCAGTGTGAGGTACCTTGTCCTCAGTGTGAGGTACTTTGTCCTCAGTTGAAGGACCATTTCCTCAGCGTGAGGAATTTTGTCCTCAGCGTGAGGAACCTTGTCCTCAGCATGACGAGCCTTGTCCTCAGAGTAAGGAACCTTGACCTCAGCGTGAGGTACCTAGTCCTCAGTGTGAGGTACTTTGTCCTCTGCTTGAGTTACTTTGTCATAAGTGTGAGGTACCTTGTCCTCACCGTGAGGAACCTTGTCCTCAGCGTGAGGAACCTTGTCCTCAGTGTGCGGTACCTTGTCCTCAGTGAGAGGTACCTTGTCCTCAGAGTGAGGAACCTTGTCCTCGGTGTGACGTACCTTGTCCTCAGTGTGTGGTACCTTGTCCTCAGCGTGAGAAACTTTGCCCTCAGCGTGAGGAACCTTGTTCTCAGTGTGAGGTACTTTCTCTTCAGTGTGAGGTACTTTGTCCTCAGTTTGAGGAGCCTTTTCCTCAGCGTGAGGAACTTTGTCCTCAGCGTGAGGAACCTTGTCCTCAGTGTGACGAGTCTTGTCCTCAGAGTGAGGAACCTTGTCCTCAGTGTGAGGTACCTAGTCCTAAGTGTGAGGTACCTTGTCCTAAGTGTGAGGTACCTTGTCCTCACCGTGAGGAACCTTGTCCTCAGTGTGAGGTAGCTTGTCCTCAGTGAGAGGTACCTTGTCCTCAGCGTGAGGAACCTTGTCCTCTGTGTGACGTACCTTGTCCTCAGTGTGAGGTACCTTGTCCTCAGCGTGAGGGGCCTTGTCCTCCGTGAGAGGTACCTTGTCCTCAGGGTGAGGTACCGTGTCCTCAGCATGACGAACCTTGTCCTCAATGTGAGGTACCATGTCCTCAGCGTGAGGAACCTTGTCCTCAGTGAGAGGTACCATGTCCTCAGCGTGAGGAACCTTGTCCTCGGTGTGACGTACCTTGTCCTCAGTGTGAGGTACCTTGTCCTCAGCGTGAGAAACTTTGCCCTCAGCGTGAGGAACCTTGTTCTCAGCGTGAGGAAACTTGTCGTCAGCGTGAGAAGCCTTCTCCTCAGCGCGAGGAACCTTGACCTCAGTGTGAGGTACCTTGTCCTCAGCGAGAGAAACCTTGTCCTCAGCCTCACTAACCTTGTCCTCAGCGTCAGGAACGTTGTCCTCAGCGTGAGGAACCTTGTCCTCAGTGTGAGGTACCTTGTCCTCAGTATGAGGTACATTGTCCACAGCGTGAGGTACAATGTCCTAAGCCTGAGAAACCTTGTCCTCGGCGTGACGAACCCCGTCCTCAGCGTGAGGAACCTCGTTCTCAGTGTGAGGTACCTTGTCCTCAGTGTGAGGTACCTTGTCTTCAGCTAGAGGAGCCTTGTCCTCAGCGTGAGGAACCTTGTCCCCAGCTTGAGGATCCTTTGTCCTGCATGTGAGGTACCTTGTCCTCAGCGTGAGGAACCTTGTCCTCAGTGTGAGGAATCTTGTCCTCAGTGTGAGGGACCTGGTCCTCAGTGTGAAGGACCTTGTCCTCAGTGTGCGGTACCTTGTCCTCAGTGTCCGGTACCTTGTCTTCAGCTTGAGGATCCATTTTCTCAGCGAGAGGAACCTTGTCCCCTTCGTGAGGAGCCTTGTCTTCCGTGTGAGGTACCTTGTCCTCAGTGGGAGGTACCGTGTCCTCAGCTTGACGAACCTTGTCCTTAGTGTGAGGTACCATGTCCTCAGCGTTAGGTACCTTGTCCTCAGCGTAAGGAACCTTGTCCTAAGTGTGAGGGACCAGGTCCTCAGTGTGAGGTACCTTGTCCTCAGTGTGAGGAACCTTGTCCTCAGCTTGAAGAACTTTTTCGTTAGTGTGAGGTACCTTGTTCTCAGCGTGAGACACCTTGTCTTCTGCGTGAGGAACCTTGTCCTCAGCGTGACGACCCTTGTCCTCAGCGTGGCTAATCTTGTCCTCAGCGTGAGGAACCTTGTCGCCAGCGTGAGGACCTTTGTCCTCAGTGTGCGGTACCTTGTCCTCAGTGTGCGGTACTTTGTCGTCGGCTTGAGGAGCCTTTTCCTCAGCGTGAGGAACCTTTCCCCCAGCGTGAGGAGCCTTGTCCTCCGTGTGAGGTACCTTGTCCTCAGTGTGAGGTACCGTGTCCTCAGCTTGACGAACCTTGTCCTCAGTGTGAGGTACCATGTCCTCAGCGTTAGGAACCTTGTCCTCAGCGTGAGCAATCTTGTCCTCAGTGTGAGGGATCAGGTCCTCAGTTTGAGGTACCTGGTCCTCAGTGTGAGGTACCTTGTCCTCAGCGTGTGCGGTACCTTGTCCTCAGCGTGAGGAACCTTGCCCTCAGTTTGAGGCGGTACCTTGTCCTCAGTGTACGGTACCTTGTCTTCAGCTTGAGGAGCCTTGTCCTCTGCGTGAGGAATCTTGTCCTCAACGTGAGCAACCTTGTCCTCATCGTGACCAACCCCGTCCTCAGCGTGAGGAACCTTGTCCTCAGTGTGAGGTACCTTGAACTCAGTGTGAGGTACATTGTCCTCAGTGTGAGGTACCTTGTCCTCAGAGTGAGGAACCTTGTCCTCAGTTTGAGGCGGTACCTTGTCCTCAGTGTACGGTACCTTGTCTTCAGCTTGAGGAGCCTTGTCCTCTGCGTGAGGACCTTGTCCGCAGCGTGAGGAAGCTTGTCCTCAGCGGGAGCAACCTTGTCCTCAGCGTGAGGATCATTGTCCTCATTGTGAGGTACCTTGTCCTCAGTGTGAGGTACCTTGTCTTCGGTTTGAGGAACCTTATCCTCAGCTTCAGAAACCTTGTCCTCAGCGTGAGGAACCTTGTCCTCGGTGTGAGGTACCTTGTCCTGAGTGTGAGGTACCTTGTCCTCAGTGTGACGTACCTTGGCCTCAGCTTGAGGAACCTTCTCTTCAGTGTGAGGTACTTTGTCCTCAGCTTGGGGAACCTTGTCGTCAGCGTGGGGAACCTTGTCCTCAGTGCGAGGTACCTTGTTCTCAGTGTGACGTACCTTGTCCTCAGCTTGAGGAACCTTGTCCTTAGTGTGAGGTACCTTGTCCTCAGCTTGAGGAACCTTGTCCTCAGAATTGGGAACCTTGTCCTCAGTGAGACGTACCTTGACCTCAGTGTGAGGTACCTTGTCCTCGGCGTGAGGAACCTTGTCCTCACTGTGGCGTACCTTGTCCTCACCGTGAGGAACCTTGTGCTCAGCGTGAGGAACCTTGCCTCGCCGTCATGAACCTTGTCCTCAGCATGAGGAACCGTGTCCTCAGTGTGAGGTACCTTGTCCTCAGTGTGAGGTACCTTTTTCTCAGCTTCAGGAAGCTTGTCCCCAGCGTCAGGAGCCATGCCCTCAGCGTGAGGTACCTTGTTCTCAGTGAGAGGTACTTTGTCCTCAGCGTGAGGAACCTTCTCCTCAGCGTGAGGAACCTTGTCCTCATTTGGAGAAAAAATGAAAATTTTCTTGAAAATTTGGGATTTCGCGAAAAAATGAAAATCTTCTGGAAAATTTGGGATTTGGAAAAAAATGAGAATTTTCATGAAAATTTTGGATTTGCCGAAAAACTGAAAATTTTCTTGAAAATTTCGGAAAACCTTGGCCAGATCGTGAGGAACCTTGTCCTGAGCGTGAGGAACCTTGTCCTCTGCGGGAGGAATCTTGTCCTCAGTGTGAGGGACCTGGTCCTCAGTGCGAGGTACCTTGTCCTCAGTATGAGGTACACTCTCCTCAGCGTGAGGAACCTTGTCCTCAGCATGATGAACCTCGTTCTCAGTGTAGGGGACCTGATCCTTTGTGTGATGTACCTTGTCCTCAGCGTGAGGTGCCTTGTCCTCAGCTTGAGGAACCTTCTCCTCAGTGTGAGGTACCTTGCCTCAGCTTGAGGAACCTTGTCCTCAGCGTGAGGAACCTTGTCCTCAGCGTGATGTACCTTGTCCTCAGTGTGAGGTACCTTCTCCTCAGTGTGAGGTGCCTTGTCCTCAGCTTGAGGAACCTTGTCCTCAGTGTGAGCTACCTTGTCCTCAGCGTGAGGAACCTTGTCCTCAGTGTGAAGTACTTTGTCCTCAGTGTGAGCTCCCTTGTCCTCAGCGTAAGGAACCTTGTCTTGAGCGTGAGGATCCTTGTCTTCAGCGTTCCGAACCTTGTCGTCACCGTGAGGAACCTTGTCCTCAGGGTTAGAAACTTTGCCTCAGCCTGAGGAACCTTGTCCTCAGCGTGAGAAACCTTGTCCCCATTGTGAGGAACCTTGTCCAAAGTGTGAGTTACCTTGTCCTCAGCTTGAGGAACCTTGTCCTCAGTGTGAGGAACCTTGTCCTCTGCGTGAGGAACTTGTCCTCAACGTGAGCAACCTTGTCCTCAGCGTGACCAGCCCCGTCCTCAGCGTGCGGAACCTTGTCCTCAGTGTGTGGTACCTTGTCTTCAGTGTGGGGAACCTTGCCTTCAGCTAGAGGAACCTTATCCTAAGCACGAGGAACCTTGTCTTCATGTTGAGGTACCTTGTCCACAGCGTGAGAAACCTTGTCCTCGGCGTGAGGAACATCGTCCCAAGCGTGAGGAAGCTTGTTCCCCGTGTGAGTTACCTTGTCCTCAGGGTGAGGTACCGTGTCCTCAGCTTCAGGATCCTTGTCCTCAGTGTGAGGTACCATGTCCTCAGCGTGAGGAACCTTGTCTTCTGCGGGAGGAACCTTGCCCCAGCGTGAGGGACCTTCTTCTCAGCGTGAGGAACTTTGTCCTCAGCGTGAAGAACCTTGTCCGCAGTGTGAGGTACCTTGTCCTCAGGGTGAGGTACCTTGTCCTGAGTTTGAGGAAACTAGTGCTCAGTGAGAGGTACCTTATCCCCAGCGTGAGGAACCTTGTCCTCAGCGTGACGAACCTTGTCCTTAGCGTGACATACCTTGTCCTCAGCGTGAGGTACCTTGTCCTCAGCGTTAGCAGCCTTGTCCTCTTCGTGAGGAACCTTGTCCTCAGCGTGAGTAGCCTTGTCCTCAGTGTGCGTTATCTTGTCCTCACTGTGAGGTACTTTGTACTCAGCTTGAGGAGCCTTGCCCCAGCGTGAGGGACCTTGTTTTCAGCGTGAGGAACTTTGTCCTCAGCGTGAAGAACCTTGTCGTCAGCTTGACGAACCTTGTCCTCAGAGTGAGGAACCTTGTCCTCAGTGTGAGGTACCTTGTCTTCAGTGTGAGGAACTTTGTCCTCAGCTTGAGGAACCTTTTCCTCAGCGTGAGGAACCTTGTCCTCAGTGTGAGGTACCTTCTGCTCAGCCTGAAGAATCTAGTCCTCAGTGTGAAGTACCTTGTCCTCAGTGAGAGATACCTTGTCCTCAGCGTGAAAAACCTTGTCCTCAGTAAGACGTACCTTGTCCTCAGTGTGAGGTACCTTGTTTTCCAGGTGAGAAACTTTGTGCTCAGCGTGAGGAACCTTGTCCTCAGCGTGAGGCACCTTCCCCTAAGTGAGCTACCTTGTCCTCACCGTGAGGAACCTTCTCCTCATCGTGAGGAACTTTGTCCTCAGCGTGAGGAACCTTGTCCTCTGCATGAGGAACCTTGTCCTCAGCGTGAGCAGCTTTGTCCTCAGTGTGAGGTACCTGGTCCTCAGCTTGAAGAACCTTGTCCTCAGTGTGAGGTGCCTTGTCCTCAGCTTGAGGAACCTTGTCCTCAGCATGAGGAACCTTGTCCTCAGTGTGAGGTACCCTGTCCTCAGTGTGAGGTACCTTGTCCTCAGCGTGAGGAGCCTTGCCCTCCGCGTGAGAAACCTTGTCCTCACCGTGAGGAACCTTGCCTTCAGCGTCAAGAGCCTTGTCCTCAGCGTCAGGAACCTTGTTCTCAGTGTGAGGTACCTTTGTCCTCAGCGTGAGGAACTTTGTCCTTAGCGTGAGGACCTTGTCCTCAACGTGAGGAGCGTTGTCCTCAGTGTGAGGTACCTTGTCCTCAGCGTGGGGAACCTTGTCCTCAGTGTGAGGATCATTGTCCTGAGCGTGAGGTACCTTGTCCTCAGCGTGAACATCCTTGTCCTCAGCGTGAGGAACCTTGTCCTCAGTGTGAGGAACGTTGTCCTCAGCGTGGTTAACCCTGTCCTCAGTGTGAGGTACCTTGTCCTCAGCGTGAGGAACCTAGTCCTCACTGTGAGGAACCTTGTCCTCAGCGTGAGGAACTTTGTCCTCAGTGTGAGATACCTTGTCCTCAGTGTGAGGTACCTTGTCTTCAGCTTGAGGAACCTTGTCCTAAGGATGAGGAACATTGTTCTCAGTGTGAGGTACATTGTACTCATTATGAGGTACCTTGTCCTCATCGTGAGGTACCTTATCCTCAGTGTGAGGTACCTTGTCCTCAGCTTGAGGAACCTTTCCTCAGCATGAGGAACCTTGTCCTCAGTTTCAGGTACGTTGTCCTAAGTGTGAGATACCTTGTCCTCAGTGTGACGTACCTTGTCCTCAACTTGAGGAACCTTGTCCTCAGTGGGAGGTATTTTGTCTCAGCTTGGGCAACCTTGTCCTCAGCGTGAAGAACATTGTCCTCAGTGTGAGTTACCTTGTCCTCAGTGTGAGGTACTTTCCCCTCAGCTTGAAGAACCTCGTCCTCAGCTTGAGGAACCTTTTCCTCAGTGTGAGGTCCCTTGTCCTCACCGCGAGGGACCTTGTCCTCAGCGTGAGAAACCTTGTCCTCAAAGTGAGGAACCTAGTCCTGAGCGTGATGTACCTTGTCCTCAGCGTGAGGAGCCTTGTCCTCAGCCTGAGGAACCTTGTCTTCAGCGTCAGGAACCTTGTTCTCAGTGTGAGGTACCTTTGTCCTCAGCGTGAGGAACTTTGTCCTTAGCGTGAGGACCTTGTCCTCAACGTGAGGAGCGTTGTCCTCAGTGTGAGGTACCTTCTCCTCAGCGTGGGAACCTTGTCCTCAGTGTGAGGAACATTGTCCTGAGCGTGAGGTACCTTGTCCTCAGCGTGAACATCCTTGTCCTCAGCGTGAGGAACCTTGTCCTCAGTGTGAGGAAAGGTGTCCTCAGCGTGATTAACCTTGTCCTCAGTGTGAGGTACCTTGTCCTCAGCGTGAGGAACCTAGTCCTCACTGTGAGGAACCCTCTCCTCAGCGTGAGGAATCTTGTCCTCAGCGTGAGGAACCTTGTCCTCACTGTAAGGAAACTTGTCCTCACCGTGAGGAACCTTGTCCCAACCGTCAGGAGCTTTTTCGTCAAAGTGAGGAACCTCGAACTCAATGTGGGGTACTTTCTCCTCAGTGTGAGTAACTTTGTTCTCAGCTTGAGAAACCTTGTCCTCAGCGTGAGGGACCTTGTCCTCAGTGTGAGGTACCTTGTCCTCAGCATGAGGAACCTTGTCCTCCGCGTGGGGAACCTTTTCCTCAGCGTGAACAACCTTGTCCTCGGCGCGAGGAGCCTTGTCCTCAGCGTGAGGAACTTTGTCCTCAGTGTGAGGCACCTTGTCCACAGTGTGAGGTACCTTGTCTTCAGCTTGAGGAACCTTGTTCGAAGCATGAGGAACCTTGTCCTCTCTGTGAGGTACGTTGTACTCATTGTGAGGTACCTTGTTCTCATCGTGAGGTGTTTTGTCCTCAGCGTGAGGTACCTTGTCCTCAGCTTGAGGAACCTTGTCCTCAGCGTGAGGAACCTTGTCTTCAGTGTGACGTACCTTGTCCTATGTGTGAGGTGCCTTCTCCTCAGTGTGACGTACCTTGTCCTCTGCATGAGGAACCTTGTCCTCAGTGTGAGGTACTTTGTCCTCAACTTGGGGAACCTTGTTCCAGCGTGGCGAACATTGTCCTCAGTGTGAGTTACCTTGTCTTCAGTGTGAGGTACTTTGTCTTCAGCTTGAGGAACCTTGTCCTCAGTGTGAGGTCCCTTGCCCTCACCGTGAGGAACCTTGGCCACAGCGTGAGAAACCTTGACCTCAAAGTGAGGAACCTTGTCCTCAGCGTGAGGACCTTGTCCTCAGCGTGAGGAACCTTGTCCTCAGCGTGAGGAACCTTGTCCTCAGCGTGAGGAACCTTGTCCTCAGCGTGAGGAACCTTGTCCTCAGCGTGAGGAACCTTGTCCTCAGTGTGAGGTACCTTGTCCTCAACGTGAGGAACCTTGTCCTCAGGCGTGAGGAACCTTGTTCTCAGTGGGAGGTACCTTGTCCTCAATGTGAGGTACTTTGTCCACAGCTTGAGGAACCTTGTCCTCAGTGTGAGGTACCTGGTCCTCAGCGTGAGGAACCTTGTCCTCAGCGTGAGGTACCTTGTGCTCAGCGTGAGGGACCTTGTCCTCAGCGTGAGAAACTTTGTCCTCAGCGTGAGGAACCTTATCCTCAGCGTGACGAGCCTTGTCCTCAGAGTGAGGAACCTTGTCCAAAGTGTGAGGTACCTTGTCCTAAGTGTGAGGAACCTTGTCCTCACCGTGAGGAACGTTGTCCTCAGCGTGAGGAACCTTGTCCTCAGTGAGAGGTACCTTGTCCTCAGCGTGAAGAATCTAGTCTTCAGTGTGAGGCACCTTGTTCTCAAAGTGAGGAACCTCATCCTCAGCGTGAGGAATCTTGTCCTCAGCGTGAGGAACCTTGTCCTCATCGTGAGGAACTTTGTCCTCACCGTCAGGAACCTTGTCCTAACCGCCAGGAACTTTGTCCTCAAAGTAAGGAACCTCGAACTCAATGTGGGGAACATTATCCTCAGTGTGAGGTACTTTGTCCTCAGCTTGAGGAACCTTGTCCTCAGCGTGAGGGACCTTGTCCTCAGCGTGATGTACCTTGTCCTCAGCATGAGCAACCTTGTCCTCAGCTTGAGGAACCTTGTCTTCAGTTTGAGTTACCTTGTCCTCACCGTGAGGAACCTTGTTCTCAGCGTGAGAACCCTTGTCCTCAACGTGAGGAACTTTGTCCTCAGCGTGAGGAACTTTGTCCTCTGCTTGAGGAATCTTGTCCTCAGCCTGAGGTACCTTGTCCTCAGCTTGAGGGACATTGTCCTCATTGTGAGATACGTTGTCCTCAGCGTGAGGAAAGTTGTCCTCAGCTTGAAGGACCTTGTCCTTAGTGTGTGGTACCTTGTCCTCAGCGTGAGCCACCTTGTCCTCTGCGTGAGGAACCTTGTTCTCGCCGTCATGAACATTGTCCTCAGCATGAGGAACCTTGTCCTCAGTGTGACGTACCCTTTCCTCACCTTGACGAAGCTTGTCCCCAGCGTCACGAACCTTGTCCTCAGCGTGAGGTACCTTGTTCTGAGTGTGAGGTACCTTGTCCTCAGCGTGAGGAACCTTGTCCTCAGCGTGAGGAACCTTGTACTCAGTTTGAGGAACCTTGTTATCAGCGTGAGGAACCTTGTTATCAGCGTGAGGAACCTTGTCCTCAGTGTGAGGTACCTTGTCCTCAGCGTGAGAAACCTTTTCCTCAGCGTGAGCAGCCTTTTCCTCACTGTGACGTACCTTGTCCTCACCTTGAGGAACCTTATCGTCAGCATGAGGAACCTTGTCCTCAGTGTGAGGTACCTTCACATCAGTTTGATGTACCTTGTCCTCAGCGTGAGCAACCTTGTCCTCAGCGTGAGGGACTTTGTCCTCAGTGTGAGGTACCTTTTCTTCAGTTTGAGAAGCATTGTCCTCAGTGTGAGGTGCCCTGTTGTCAGCGTGAGGAACCCTGTCCTCAGCGTGAGGAACTTTGTCCTCAGCGTGAGGAACTTTGTCCTCAGCGTGAGGAACCTGGTCCTCAGTGTGAGGTACCTTGTCCTCAGCTTGAGGGACATTGTCCTCATTGTGAGATACGTTTTCCTCAGCGTGAGGAACGTTGTCCTCAGCTTGAAGGACCTTGTCCTTGGTGTGAGGTACCTTGTCCTTAGCCTGAGCCACCTTGTCCTCTGAGTGAGGAACCTTGTCCTCGCCGTCATGAACCTTGTCCTCAGCATGAGGAACCTTGTCCTCAGTGTGAGGTACCTTGTCCTCAGTGTGACGTACCTTTTCATCAGCTTGAAAAACCTTGTCCTCAGTGTGAGGTACATTGCCCTCAGCTGGAGGAACTTTGTCCTCTGCGCGAGGAATCTTGTCCTCTGCGTGATGAACCTTGTCCTCACCTTGAGGCACCTTGTCCTCACCGTGAGGAACCTGTTCCTTAGCGTGAGGAACCTTGTCCTCTGCTTCAGGAACCTTGTCCTCAGTGTGAGGTACCTTGTACTCACCATGAGGAACCTTGTCCTCAGTGTGAGGTACCTTGTCCTCACCCTGACAAACCTTGTCCTCAGCGTGACGACCTTGTCCTCAGCGTGAGGAATTTTTCTGAACGTGAGGAACCTTGTCCTCAGCGCGAGGAACTTTGTCCTCAGCGTGAGGTACCTTGTCCATAGCGAGAGGAACCTTGTCCTCTGCTTGAGGGACCTTGTTCTCAGCGTGAGGACCTTGTCCTCAGCGTGAGGAACCTTGTCTTCAGGGTGAGGAACCTTGTCCTGGGCGTGTATAGCCTTGCTCTCAGAGGGAGGTACCTTGTCCTCAATGTGAGCTACCTTGTCCACAGCTTGAGGAACCTTGTCCTGAGTGTGACGTACCTTTTTCGCAGCTTGAGGAAGCTTGTCCTCAGTGTGAGGTACCTTGTCCTCAGCGTGAGGAACCTTGTCCTCAGTGTGAGGTACCTTGTCCTCAGTGCGAGCTACCTTGTCCTCAGCTCGAGGAACCTTGTCCTCAGCGTGAGGAACCATGTCCTCGGTGTGACGTACCTTGTCCTCAGTGTGAGGAACCTTGTCCTCAGTGTGAGGTACCTTGTCCTCACTGCGAGCTACCTTGTCCTCAGCTCGAGGAACCTTGTCCTCAGCTTGACGAACCTTGTCCTTAGCGTGACATACCTTGTCCTCAGCGTGAGGTATCTTGTCCTCAGCGTTAGCAGCCTTGTCCTCTTCGTGAGGAACCTTGTCCTCAGCGTGAGTAGCCTTGTCCTCAGTGTGCGTTATCTTGTCCTCACTGTGAGGTACTTTGTACTCAGAGTGAGGTACCTTGTCCTCAGAGTTAGGGACCTTGTCCTCTACTAGAGGTCCCTTGCCCTCAGCGTGAGGAACCTTGTCCTCAGCGTTAGGAATCTTGTCCACAGTGTGACGTACCTTGTCCTCGGTGTGAGGTACCTTGTCCTCAGCGTGAGAAACATTGTCCTCAGCGTGAGAAACCTGTCCTCAGCGTGAGGAACCTTGTTCTAAGCATGACTAACCTTGTCCTCAGTGTGAGGTACCTAGTCTTCAGCGTGAGGAACCTTGTCCTCAGCGTGAGGAACCCTTTCCTCAGCGTGAGGTACCATGTCCACAGCCTGAGAAACCCTGTCCTCAGCGTGACGAACCCCGTTCTCAGAGTGAGGAAACTTGTCCTCAGTGTGAGGTACCTTGTCCTCAGTGTGAGGTACCTTGTCCTCAGCGTGAGGCACCTTGTCCTCTGCGTGAGGAGCCTTGACCTCACCGTGACGAATCTTGTGCTCAGCGTCACGAACCTTGTCCTCGGCGTGAGGAACCTTGTCGCCAGCGTGAGGAACCTTGTCCTCAGCGTGAGGATCCTTGTCCTCAGCGTGAGGAACCTTGTCGACAGCGTGAGAAACCTTGTCCTCACCGTAAGGAACCTTGTCCTCAGCGTGAGGAACTTTGTTCTCAGTGTGAGGTACGTTGTCGTCAGTGTGAGGTACTTTGTTCCCAGCTTGAGGGTCCTTGTACTCAGCGTAAGAAACTTTGTGCTCAGTGTGACGTACCTTGTCCTCACCGTGAGGAATCTTGTCCTCAGCGTCAGGAATCTTGTCCACAGTGTGAGGTACCTTGTCCTCAGAGTGACGAACGGTGTCCTCAGCTTGAAGGACCATGTCCTTAGTGTGAGGTACCTTGTCCTCAGCGTGAGGCACCTTGTCCTCTGCGTGAGGAACCTTGTCCTCACCATGACGAACCTTGTCCTCAGCGTGACGAATCTTGTCCTCAGCGTGAGGAAGCATGACGCCAGCGTGAGGAACCTTGTCCTCAGTGTGACGTAACATGTCCTCAGGGTGAGGATCCTTATCCTCAGCGTGAGGAACCTTGTCGTCAGCGTGAGAAACCTTTTCCTCACCGTGAGGAACCTTGTCCTCAGCGTGAGGAACATTGTTCTCAGTGTGAGGTACCTTGTCGTCAGTGTGAGGTACTTTGTTCTCAGCTTGAGGAACCTTGTACTCAGCGTAAGAAAATTTGTCCTCAGTGTGACGTACCTTGTCCTCACAGTGAGGAATCTTGTCCTCAGCGTGAGGAACTTTGTCCACAGTGTGAGGAACCTTGTCCTCAGAGTGAGGAGCCTTGTCCTCTGCGTGACGAACCTTGTCCTCTGTGTGAGGAACCTTGTCCTCCGCGTGAGCAACCTTGACCTCACCGTCAGGAACCTTGTCTCAGAGTGAGGAACCTTGTCCTCAATGTGAGGTACCTTTTCCTCAGTGTGAGGAACCTTGTTCTCAGCGTGAAGAACCCTGTCCTCAGCGTGAGGAACTTTGTCCTCAGCGTGAGGAACTTTGTCCTCAGCCTGAGGAACCTTGTCCTCAGTGTGAGGTATCTCGTCCTCAGCTTGAGGAACATTTCCTCAGTGTGAGGTACGTTGTCCTCAGCGTAAGGAACGTTGCCCTCTGCTTGAAGAACCTTGTCCACAGTGTGAGGTACCTTGTCCTCAGCTTGAGGAAATTTGCCCTCTGCGTGAGGAATCTTGTCCTCTGCGTGAGGAACCTTGTCCTCACCGTGAGGAACCTTGTCCTCACCGTGACGAACCTTGTCCTCACAGTGAGGAACCTTGTCCCCACCGTCAAGAACCTTGTCCTCAGAGTGAGGAAACGTGTACTCAGTGTGGGGTACCTTGTCCTCAGTGTGAGGTACTTTGTTCTCAGCTTGAGGAACCTTGCCCCAACGTGAGGAACCTTGTCCTCAGCGCGAGGAACTTTGTCCTCGGCGTGATGAACCTTGTCCTCAGCGTGACGAACCTTGTCCTCAGAGTGAGGAACCTTGTTCTCAGTGTGAGGTACCTTGTCTTCAGTGTGAGGAACTTTGTCCTCAGCTTGAGGAACCTTTTCCTCAGCGAGAGGAACCTTGTCCTCAGTGTGAGGTACCTTGTCCTCAGCGTGAGGAATCTAGTTCTCAGTGTGACGTACATTGTAATCAGCGTTAGGAACCTTGTCCTCTGCTTGAGGAACCTTGTCCTCAGCGTGAGCAGCTCTGTCCCCAGTGTGAGGTACCTTGTCCTCAGCTTGCGGATCCTCGTCCTCAGTGTGAGGTACCTTGTCCTCACCTTGAGGAACATTGTCCTCACCAGCAGAAACGTTGTCCTGAGTGTGAGGTACCTTGTCCTCAGGGTGAGGCACCTTGTGCTCAGCATGAGGAACCTTGTCCTCAGTGAGAGGTACCTTGTCCTCAGCGTGAAGAACCTTGTCCTCAGCGTGAGCAACCTTGACCTCAGCGTGAGATACCTTGTCCTCAGCGTGAGGAACCCTGTCCTCAGCATGAGGAACCTTCTCCTCAGCGTGAGGGACCTAGTCCTCAGTGTGAGGTACCTTGTCTTCAGTTTGAGGACCAATGTCGTCAGTGTGAGGTGCCTTGTTCACAGCGTGAGGAACCCTGTTCTCACCGTGAGGAACTTTGTCCTCAGCGTGAGCAACTTTGTCCTCAGCGTGAGGAACCTTGTCCTCAGTGTGAGGTTCCTTGTTCGCAGCTTGAGGAACCTTGTCCTCAGCATGAGGAACCTTGTCCTGAGTGTGAGGTACCTTGTCCTCAGGGTGAGGCACCTTGTCCTCAGCATGAGGAACCTTGTCCTCAGTGAGAGGTGCCTTGTCCTCAACGTGAGGAACCTTGTCCTCAGCGCGAGGAACCTTGTCCTCAGCGTGAGATACCTTGCCCTCTGCGTGAGGAACCTTCTCCACAGCGTGAGGGACCATGTCCTCATCTTGAGGAACATTGTCCTCAGTGTGAGGATAGACAGATACCTTGTCCTCTGCGTGAGGAACCTTCTCCCCAGCGTGACGGACCTTGTCTTCACCTTGAGGAACATTGTCCTCAGTGTGACGTGCCTTGTTCTCAGCGTGAGGAACGCTGTCCTCAGCGTGAGGAACTTTGTCCTCAGCGTGAGAAACTTTGTCCTCAGTGTGAGGTACCTTGTCCTCAGCTTGAGGAACATTGTCCTCAGTGTGAGGTACCTTGTCCTCAGCGTGAGGAACGTTGTCCTCAGCTTGAGGAACTTTGTCCTCAGTGTGAGTTACCTTGTCCTCAGCTTGAGGAACCTTGTCCTCAGGGTGAGGACCTTGCCTGAGTGTGAGGTACCTTCTCCTCAGCGTGAGGAACCTTGTGCTCAGTGTGAGGTACCTTGTATTCAGCGTGAGGTACCTTGTCCCCAGCTTGGGGAACCGTGTCCTCAGCCTGTGAAACTTTGTCCTCAGTGTGAGGTACCTTGTCCTCAGTGTGAGTTACCTTGTGCTCAGCGTGAGGAACCTTGTGCTCAGCGTGAAGAAGCTTGTCCTCAGCCTGAGGAACCTTGTCCACAGTGTGACGTACCTGGTCCTCAGACTGAGGAACCTTGTCCTCAGCGTGAGGAACCTTGTTCTCAGTGTGTGGAACCTTGTCCTCAGTGTGTGGTACCTTGTACTGAGTGTGAGGTACCTTGTGCTCAGCGTGAGGTACCTTGTGCTCAGCGTGAGAAACTTTGTAATCAGCGTGAGGAACCTTGACCACAGAGTGAGGAACCCTGTCCTCAGTGTGAGGTACCTTCTTCTCAGTGGGAGGAACTTTGTCCTCACCTTGAGGAACCTTGTCCTCAGCTTGAGGAACCTTGTCCTCTGCGCGAGGAATCTTGTCCTCTGCGTGAGGAACCCTGTCCTCAGTTTGAGGCACCTTGACCTCAAATCGAGGAACCTTGTCCTCTGCGTGAGTAACCTTGTCCTCTGCTTGAGGAACCTTGTCCTCACCTTGAGGCACCTTGTCCTCACCGTGAGGAACCTTGTCCTCAGCGTGAGGAACCTTGTCCTCAGCTTCAGGAACCTTGTCCTCAGTGTGAGGTACCTTGTGCTCACCATGAGCAACCTTGTCCTCAGCTTGAGTTACCTTGTCCTCACCCTGACAAACCTTGTCCTCAGCGTGACGACCTTGTCCTCAGCGTGAGGAACTTTTCCTGAGCGTGAGGACCTTGTTATCAGCGTGAGGAACATTGTCCTCAGTGTGAGGTACCTTGTCCATAGCGAGAGGAACCTTGTCCTCTGCTTGAGGAAACTTGTCCTCAGCGTGAGGAACCTCGTCCTCAGGGTGAGGAACCTTGTCCTGGGCGGGTAGAGCTTTGCTCTCAGAGGGAGGTACCTTGTCCTCAATGTGAGGTACCTTGTCCACAGCTTGAGGAACCTTGTCCTGAGTGTGATGTACCTTGTCCTCAGCGTGAGGATCCTTGTCCTCAGTGTGAGGTACCTTGTCCTCAGTGTGAGCTACCTTGTCCTCAGCTCGAGGAACCTTGTCCTCAGCGTGAGGAACCTTGTCCTGGGCGTGAGGAACCCTGTCCTCAGTGGGAAGAACCTTGTCCTCAGTGTGACGTACCTTTTTCGCAGCTTGAGGAAGCTTGTCCTCAGTGTGAGGTACCTTGTCCTCAGCGTGAGGAACCTTGTCCTCAGTGTGAGGTACCTTGTCCCAAGTGTGAGCTACCTTGTCCTCAGCTCGAGGAACCTTTTCCTCAGCGTGAGGAACCTTGTCCTCTGTGTGACGTACCTTGTCCTCAGTGTGAGGTACCTTGTCCTAAGTGTGAGGTACCTTGTCTCCAGTGTGACGTATCTTGTCCTCAGCTTGAGGAAATTTGTCCTCAGTGTGAGGTACTTTGTCCTCAACTTGGGGAACCTTGTCGTCAGCGTGAGGAACCTTGTCCTCAGTGTGATGTACCTTGTCCTCAGTGTGATGTACTTTGTGCTCAGCTTGAGGTGACTTGTCCTCAGCATTCGGACCCTAGACTCAGTGTGAGGTACCTTGAACTTAGTGTGAGGTACATTGTCCTCAGAGTGAGGTACCTTGTCCTCAGAGTTAGGAACCTTGTCCTCTACTAGAGGTCCCTTGCCCTCAGCGTGAGGAACCTTGTCCTCAGCGTGAGGAATCTTGTCCACAGTGTGACGTACCTTGTCCTCGGTGTGAGGTACCTTGTCCTCAGCGTGAGGAACATTGTCCTCAGCGTGAGAAACCTGTCCTCAACGTGAGGAACCTTGTTCTAAGCATGAGGAACCTTGTCCTCAGTGTGAGGTACCTAGTCTTCAGCGTGAGGAACCTTGTCCTCAGCGTGAGGAACCCTTTCCTCAGCGTGAGG